GGCTGAATCACGCCATGGTTGCTCGAAATTGAAGCAGCCGGAATTGGGCCAGATGGTCCCGGAGTGAGACGAGGAGTAAACCGATCATCAAAGCTGTAGGGGGCGCTCTCTTGTTTAATCTTGGGAGCGGGCATCTCAGATGGCTCTGGAGTGACCGAGGATTCTGGGAGTGAGTCTAGAGCCGATTCTAGCTTGACAAGTTCGTCCTTCTTCCCTTTCGGATCCTTCTTCGACTTTGCGACTCGATTTTTCCCCTGCCCCGTTCGATTTCGTCTGGTGGGCTCATTGCCTAGCATAGCGGTTTTGAAACGTGAGTACCTCATGCGAGCGGCATGGCCATTGGAAATCGGTTGGGGTAAGATTTCGTCTTTAGCAACCGCGTCCCAATTAATCTAGATTATATGTCAGTGGATTCCAAAACCGGAAGTTTAGGACACGCGTTATAGCCAAAGCTCAACTTACATCCTTGAGGTTCTTCTGCTTCAAAATCGCAAATAGGAACCTGGTCATCATACTGTCATTGTTGGAAGACATGGCGACGATTTGCCGCCAGTGCGATAGCCCGGGAAGCGTAAAATGGGCACGATTTAGAGGAGGCGAGCCTTCTCAATAAGAAGTGCACAGCTGAGTGTAAAGTAATTTGGAGAGAGCCCTCGATTTCAATGATGGTCTGAACATGCGGAGGTGAAATGGAATGAGTGAGTCACGAACAGAGTAGACGTGAAAGACAGTGAGGGAGGACTGATGAAATATATGTTAGGGCTCCTAGATAAAACTCCCAAGCTTAGGAGGTCGTTGAGAAGGAATCACACCAAGCTGTCGATCAAATAGAGTGAAGTGAAAGTATGACGAAAGGTGGAGACAAGCAGGATGGTCCGTGGGAAGATTAAGAGACCGTTTGATGCCGAGATAATGGACTAATAGACCAATGGACTAAAAGAGTGTTATTTCTATGATAAAAGAGTGAAGCCTAAGGTGAAAGAGGGAGTTTTGCTGGCTAGTTTCCTTCTTCAATGAGAAGGGTAACAAAATATGTTGACAGGGCTGCTTTAAGTGCTTGCATGAAAAGCAAGCTTACTTGCACCGGGATTATCATTAATGGATCTATATGACGAACAGTATGAAAGGCACGGTTGCCCAGCAACTCCAATTCCAACTCTAGCAAGCAACGAGGCGAATACTATGAACAATTTTGTCTTGGCCAAGGAGATCAAGGGGTGAAAAGAGAAAAGGGTTGGTGGGGTTTGTTGCGCGAAAGTGGGATGGTACGCGGCGTACCGCGTAAAGTGGTTTGCAATCCCTGCAGTACCATCGTCTCTTTCGACTAGGATGTTTAAAGAATCCTAGAAACTTCTGTTTCGACCGACTTGAGCCAGCGCTTGACAGCTCTTTAAGACGTAGAATACAAGCGCATTATAGAGCTGCGGCCAGCTGAGATGCGCTGTAACTGTAGAACTTTTTTAGTCAAAATTGACTGCTCGGACTCTGCGTAATGTATGTAGTCCTTTCACGGCGCTATGTTGAGAGGAATTCACACACCAATCAGACGGGATAAAAAGGAAGACATAGTACGAAGCTAACTTTAGGAACCGATCCCCGAGAAGGGGAACATGCCGAAGTAGGGTGGGTAAGTACATTAGGTCCAGATATTTGTAGTGGAACGAGGGGTGGTTAAAGACGTGAGTCACGAAAGAATTCAGGAGGCTGGGAACTTGAACTCGAATCTACTCGATTGGGCGATTATCGAGACCAGTGATTGGTGTACCTGTAACACCATCTCCTGCCTATCTCTAAGCGGATACTTTGGATTTACCAGTTCGCAATTGATTTTGCAGTAGTTTCGCAGTAGTTTCGCAGAGATCGTCGGTTGTCATTCAACGACCTGCATCCTCGATCCAGGAACGGCCTGTTCAGTTCTGAATATATACTTAACTAGCTTTGCAGCTAGTTATTTGTTAATTCGATAAGTCTTAATATAGTTAGATGAGAGGACCACTACGTTTTTCTCTCGGAACTAATAATGGACTCGTTCAATACGTTGGGGGCTAAGGCTGCTGGTGTTTGCTTCTAATTCTTGGAGAAATTGGTTGCGAGCAACGAAGTATTTTTTACTTCTTATGTTTGTCTTGTTCTTCCCGTCACCGAACAATGACATAGTGCCGAGTTCACTAATGTGTGACACGAAAATATTAAAGAACAAATAAATGACAGATCTAGCAGATACAACCTATATGCAAACTTGGAAGGGGAACTAATAAAAAAGTAAAAGGGGAAAAGCCAGGATTAGGACGCGTTGGAGTTGGAGTTTGTAGCACTGTGTGCACGGTCTCCTCACGTTCTAATCGCCTTTTCACGTGATGTTTCATAATCATTACACCTTTCCATTTTAAGTTTTAAGTGCATGCATGTGGCGTCTTTTGGAAGGAAGCACGGAAAGGAAAGAAGGCGCCATGGAAAAGTAAATTCGAGAATTGTGATGATACCCTGAGAGTAACGGCAAATTCCCGGCTGATCCGAAGTATTCCGGTCAAGCTATCAAGTCACATTCTAAGAATGGGTAAGTGCTTAGGTACCTAAGCTACCTAGACACCCCTATTACATATACGGTAACAGCATTATTATACACACACTCGAGATTAGATGTACCTAAGGTGGTACCAACAGGTATTTCGAATTGCAAACTCACGTGATCTCTCTACTCCCATCCAACTGGCAACGGCAACTGCAACGCATCAAGGCCTCGGATCATTACATAGGCCGTGCACGAACAAAAAAAGACAGAGCGCTATCCTAATTCGTTCTTAGTGGCAACACTGCCAAGGGACTCGACCCACCCTACCACTACCGCTCCGGACCGCGTAATTCAGGTAGCTCCAATTCAAAGCTCCTTACCCATTCTTCTCAACCTCTTAAAAGCTCTCATCTCTATCAATTTTCTTAATTCGCACGTGAAGAGTAGCTTATTGTTATAGCAGTTCCCACATCGCTACCTTAGTACCAGCCTCTCCAAGCTCTAGCCTCGAAGGCTCAGGAGCTACTTGAGAGCCAAAATGAACAAAAATTGGAATGACAGAGCTGATAAGGACCTCTTTTTCACCATCCTCTCCGTCAAGAACATCGGCGTAATAAGCGGCGGAGAATGGACTACCATTGGTAATCATATGCGATCCCTGGGATATGGCTTCACAAACGAGGGATGCCGGTAAGCAAAGTCCATTTCTTCTTTTTGTAAACTGGTTCCCACGTACCCGGCCCAAATCTACTTAGCCTTCTTGTCCTCTTCCCCTAGTGTGCGCCCGGCAATGTACCAAGTAGCGCATATACTTAGGTTAGGTAGGTAGTCTATCGCTCCGATATGATAGAGATACATCAGCTATCAAAAGATGTGTCAAGTCGCACAATTAACTACAGGGTTCTGCTTAACTTTCAAGTCGCTTAGTAGCTGTACAACCGGGGTACTTGAGGTTGTCGCAGCCCAAGACAGAAGTCGAGATGAGCACCCCGGATTTACTTCACGGCATATACAATATATGATATACAACATATGATACAGCGCATAGGGACTAATCAACTCGTACTAGTCAACACTTCCAAGGCCTCCGCAGAGCCCAGCATAAGGTTGAGTCCAATGGTAGTATAGATGCCCAGCGCAGATCTGACCCTACTCAAAACCCCATCACACGGCGCCCCGGTCCAGGTCGTGGCCGGCCCAGGAAACAACCTCCGGCACCCATTGCTGGTCTTGATCATGTATCTTCTCCCGGAGTACCAGGTCAGGTTCACGACGACGACGAAGATGATACAGCTCCACATGATGGCATGTCCGTTCAAATCCCTAGCGAGGAGGCCGACTCTTTAGGCCTAGTGCAGGACGACTCGGGTCTTGATGAACAACCGTCAAAGCGTCAGCGCCTCGATGAGGATGATCAGCAACAGACTGACGACGCAGCCGTCCTATCGTTAGCAGCAGATGGGATACCTGGACCCGAAGATCATTACGGTCCACCCGAGTAAGCCCTGTGTCTGTCTGTTATCCTTACATGTAGGTACTAACGAATTGGCAGGTTTTATGGTGAAGCATAGTGGTTGTAATCCTTTTCGCCCAGCAATCGTCTCCGCCTCTAAGGGAACATTTTAGCATAAGCTACCATAAAGTAGCTGGTCGAGGCTCCTATTGCAAGGCGTAGTTGTTAGACCATGGCCGGCCAACAACAGTTCAGTAGTCATCAGTCTACATTATATGGTTGTTCATTCAAGCTACGTTATTTTTAATCCGAAGTCAATAGATCACAAAGACTCGCGTTTGCTTCTCTTGGGAATGGGGAAATCAAAGGAATATCTACGGGCAACTTCTGTACAACACTGCGGCATCGCGTTGATCGGTAGTTTGGAGTTATAAGCGGGCTAGTTATGATCGGGATAAATTTTATTGATAGCCAATAATTCCAGCTATCCTATACGAAGGTCTCTTGAGACCTCAGATGTTTAGATTTGAGAAAGACAAGAATGTAGATGTCCAAAAGGGTACCTAGGTGCATTTACCTTCTATGCAACTCGTCATTATAGACAACATACGTTGGTAGAAGGACCTTATCATCTAGGTACCTACCTAAACTACCTATTCAGGATTGTCAAGTTTGTTCACATCACACGCCACAAGAAGCAAGTACTACCCCATACCTACCTAAGCTTCTTACTTTCCCAATACTCCATTCGGTTCATCCTACATAAGCCCATCTTTTTCATCATTTGGCAAGCACTACTTGTCATAGTCTCTTTCGTAACTTCCCGGCCGAACAACACCTCTCTTCTACCGCTAACGTCTATTTAATTCTGAACGTCTACACTTACCTACCTTACTTTCTACCGGACAACCCAAACTCTTCACCTTCCTTTAACCACCCTCTAGGACATCAACCATAACATCATCTCTGTCGTCCACCAACCTCTCTATCTTGATCCCGGTTAGTTCGAACCTGACCTCAACACACATCGCCATCATGCCGAAGGGCGCAACCTGGACCCTCGAAGCCTACCGCGACTTCTCAAGAGCCGTCTGGGACGTTGCCAAGTTGACAGCGGAGCAGAAGGAACAGATCCTACGCAAGCTACACGATGTGGGTTACGAATTCACTGGAAATGCTATGAGGTATGATATACGTCTTTCATTACTTCTCTCCCTCTCAAGATCACAAAGCGAACACCATCTATCGCTATTTGATCATCGTGATTTCCATGTTAGAAGTGTATTGCCAGTCACGACATCCCCCAACATGCCTGAAGCATACTGCCTCCATGACTCCCTTTGCCCTCATCAATCAAGAGTGCCATCATATCAGCAACTTTTCCATTATATCCTACTGCCCAAGTTCAAGGCTCATGGGTTGGCCCGAAAACATCTGCTATATCATGATTTGAATTGGGCTCTTTCCCTAGAACAGCAGCATCGCGGAACTATACCATATGATCATTATCAATCATCTGCCATCGAAAATCCACGTTCTACCTAGGTCATTTGGCGAGTTGTACTATGATATTTTCTCTCAGTCTCACTAGGTCCACCAGAGGCTACCTTGCACTGATCATCCCGGAACAGCTACGCCATAGCTTTACTAGATACTTATGTCCTTCGCTAGCTTGTTCTTAGCTAGGCCTATCGTTGACCCTCAGCTTTTCGTGTGTCAAGCTAACTTATATTCATAGACAGCACTTCCAAAAGATGATCCGAGAGGAGAAGACCGAATCTCAGCAGAATGCTGCTCCCGGCTCCTCTCCCGACACCAATCAACCTGCTACCAAGGACAAGGCAGCAGCCCGCCCCCGTCCTGCCCGCGGTTCCCGCGCTGGCGCCAAACGCAAGGCTAAGGCACCAGTCTCCGACGATGAGGAGGAGGAGGAGAAGACACCTGTCAAGAAGCGTACCAAGAACAGGTAAGCTCCATACTGCTGATCAGTCTTAGGAGTTTTGATTATATGGTAGAATATGAGACTAATTTGTCGCCTTAGAAAAACTTCTATGAAGTTGGAGGAGGATGAACCCGTGCCTTCTCAGGATGACAAGGACTGGGGTGAGTCTGCAGCTCAGCTTGAACAACACCAACCCATGACTCTCCTTGACCCGTCTTCGGTCCCCCCTGCCCAAGGAGATGACGATGCTGAATAACCACCTCGACCAGATGATGAGGATGAGAGTGGCGAGGTTTAAGTCTTTCCCAGTCAACCAGGAGCAGAGGAACTGCCTTCGTTTGCGACATCTCGCAACACACCCCTCACTTCTAAGAGGATGCCAGGGACACCAGTTCTCTGATGAGCAAGAGATTTACTTTACCTAGTCTTCGAGTTGCGTTCATATCGCCATCTACTTCGAGTTGGCTTGGGCTTTGCGTTCATAGGGGTTAACTTGAGCCCACCGGGGCGTTACGAATCGGTGATTTTTCTGCATGATGCTCCGAAGAAGAATTTAGTGATCGTGGTCTCGATTGATACTCAGACTTAGTAGTTGCCTAGTTTGACTTTGCGGTGTGACGTCTCCTTCACGGAAATATTAATAAATTTCCTCCAATACTCTTCGTTATAGGTCTTCTAACTAGTAGAATCGTCATATTAACCCAGAAAACTATCCTTAAAAAAGTTCGGAATGATTAGTGCTACACTTTAATTTAACGAATCCCCACAACATCTATTGGTGTTTTTATCATTTAATATTACATCTCGTCTGATGTTCTAGATCTGAAACTTAGCTGCAAGCGGTCGTAATCGTCTTTCAAGAAGTCGAACGTAAGCTTCCTCGTATAACGATGTGGAGACTCAACCCAGACCTCGGCTTAGCGTTTCCAGCCCTTCGGTATTCTACCGCAATACGGCTAGGGCCCGTTCGATCCCGGGATCGAACGGCAACTCCCGTGTCTGCCGGATCAGCGAAGCCCCTGTATGTATAATCCCTGAAATTATACTATCCTCCACAAGGCGTCATATTGCATGAATCTCTCATAAGAATTCAATATTGACAGTACACATCTTATCTCTTCCAAAACTCTAGCTGCGTTCTAGCATCTTATTCACAGGAAGAAGCTGGGGCGCCCCCGGTGGGCACATGGATCCAAACGGAGATCCACCAACAGGGTAATTTATTCCTTGCACGCCCGTGTCTCACTAGTTTCCCGCGCGAATCACGGAACATGCCTTGGATGCAACTCGGGGATCGCCATACCACCTGGCAAAAGAAGCAAGTATAAAATGTCGATGTCTTCCAACTTTCCCACCAATGGCATCTTGCTAGTAGGTACATCGACTCGAACTGTCCTTCGCTTCTTTCTCAAGGCTAGTCTCTCATTTCTACTTATAAGCTGAGAAATATATTCGTTCTTTTCGCATAGCCGACATCTCGTTCTTTACAACGCAATCTAGCACAATGCATAACCTTGCGGTTCTCGGCCTCGCCACTCTGGCCCTCGCGGCCCCGAGCGCTCTCAACGAGAGGGCTAGTACTTGTACTTTCACTTCGGTAGACACTTTGGCGTCGAAGAAGAAGTCTTGTACGGACATCGTGATCAAGGGGGTCACTGTTCCAGCTGGACAGACACTTGACTTGACCGGCCTCAGCGATGGCACAACCGTCACCTTCCAGGGCACCACGACGTTCGCATACAAGGAGTGGGAGGGCCCCCTAATCAGTGTCTCGGGAACCAAGATCACCGTCAAGGGCGCCAGCGGCCATGTCATCGACGGCCAGGGCGCAAAGTGGTGGGACGGAAAGGGTAGCAACGGAGGCAAGACGAAGCCCAAGTTCTTCTACGCCCACAGCCTGAAGTCCTCGTCGATCACCGGACTCAACGTCAAGAACACTCCGGTCCAAGGCTTCTCCATCAACGGTGCCAAGGGTCTAACGCTAAACCAAATCACCATCGATAACTCTGCCGGAGACTCCGCCGGTGGCCACAACACGGATGCTTTCGACGTCGGCTCTTCCGATAGTGTAAAGATCATCGGCGCCAACATCAAGAACCAGGACGACTGCCTGGCCATCAACTCCGGAACCAACATCGAGTTCACCGGCGGCACCTGCTCCGGCGGCCACGGCCTCAGCATCGGCTCCGTCGGCGGCCGCAGCAACAACGAGGTCCGCAACGTCGTCATCTCCGGGTCGACCATCAGCAACTCTCAGAACGGCGTGCGCATCAAGACCGTCTACAACGCGTCCGGCTCCGTCAGCAACGTCACCTACTCGGACATCAAGCTCAGCAACATCACCAAGTACGGCATCGTCATCCAGCAGGACTACGAGAACGGCAGCCCTACCGGCACGCCTACGACCGGTGTACCCATCACCGATCTTACGATTAGCAAGGTCACGGGTACCGTTGCGACGGATGCTACTAAGGTGTACATCCTGTGCGGCAAGGGGTCTTGCAGCGACTGGACGTGGACTGGTGTGAGCCTTTCGGGGGGCAAGACGAGCTCTAAGTGCGCGAACATTCCTTCGGGAGCTTCTTGCTAGATGTTTTAGTCAAGTCAAGTCAAGTATTGTATATCCATAGCCGCCATATGTATATATAAATAGAATCTAGCAAGTCTTAAGGCCAATTCACATACAGTTAGCAGCTGTCATATTATATTAATACCTGTACTTTATTCTAAGCGTGACGTATATTTTTCACATCCATGTATTCCGTTAAGCCAGTGATTAGATTTCAGAACCGTTCGATTATGGGATTGGGCGAATAGTATGTAACTAATTTAGCTTTCCATATTAGTCTGTCATGGCCCCCAACGGGTTTCGGGGTGTGGTTGAAGGATTCCAACTAGACCACTATACTCTTATTATTAAGCACTAAATAGGAAAGGAGGCCAAAAATAGTCGCCATGTGATGGTGATCCTTGTCGAACCACGCGTCCAGCTAACTATACCGAATATACCGAAATCAAGGTTTGAATCAGGTTGAAATCACTCTTAAGGCATTTAGTTCCTACGAAATGGGCGGAGTAGTCGGAACATTTAAGCTGGCTAACTCCTTTTTTTCTCTTCATTTTTCTTATGACTATGGCTAGCATTTATGGCCAAGTTCCGCTTAGTTCTCCTAATAGCATCAGGCTCCTGAAACTCTTTCCTGCGTCCTCGATCAAGGCACCTGTGAATTTTGAGTTGCTCGAAGCCACACTAGACCAATGCCCTCCTTTCAAAGCTATATCGTATTCTTGGGACGGGCAACGACCTACAGAAAAAGCTTTTTGCCTGGGACAGTCCATCCTCGTCACGCTAAATTGCAATAACATACTCCGATATTTAGCTACAACTAATAGCAACCCGTCATTAGTATGGATCGATGCCATCTGTATCAACCAGTCTCCAGCGGCGGGGATAGAACGTAATCAGCAAGTGAGCATAATGGGAGACATCTACACCGCCGCTGATGAAGTCGTCGTCTGGCTTGGGTCTACTATAAAGCCGTCCTGGGAGTCGACTTTTCAGAACCTTTCCGTGTTCGCCGATGCATGTCTTGCTTCCAAGAGCGAAAAATACTCGAGCCAACTCCTTGTATTAGCTAGCAAGATAGATACCAAGAGTAAGCTCATCCACAATGCTCTCTTATAGGAAGGTAGCCAAAGCACATACGCTAAGAATATAATCAGCCCTCAACGATATGTTCTGGGGAGTAACGTGGTTTAGTCGTGTCTGGGTAGTTCAGGAGGTTGCGTTGAGCCGGAAAGCAACTTTTATATATGGCCAGGCCTTGCTCGTTTACTTCAATCTAATTAAGTCATGGTCGGACTTATACAGCACACACAAAAATGTTGGGCTCGTACAGAATCTAAATCAGACCCTTTATAATGGCTTCGGCACGCACATCGTCTCTCTACAAGGTCCGAGAAGAGCAGTTGCCATCACTGAAGAATACGACAGCATTGAAGAGCTCTTCCGCCAAGCGAGCAGACTACTAGCAACCGAACCTCGAGACAAGGTATACGGGCTTCGCGGATTGCTAGTTAGCTACGGAGTCTCACTCCCACCAGCGGACTACCAGAAGCCTCTGGAAACCATATACATGGAGACCGTTAAAGCACTAATGGATTTCACGGGCTCTTTAAATCTAGAAAGTTGTTACTATGTATCGGACAGTTGGCCATCTTGGGTCCCAAACTGGGCCACTTCGGTACCATGTTCATCGCCGAAGGGAGATTATCATGCCGCTGGACATTCAACCGCTAGCTTCAGCTTTGTTAATCTCCCCGGTGGCTCCCAGGCACTCCAAGTCTCTGCCGTCATCATCGGAAACGTCTCATCGTCCCTCGGGACATGCCTACTAGGTCGTTACCGTACTGCAGAGGCTTTGAAAAACGACGATATCTTGATACGGATCGAAGAAGAAATAGCCCCAGACTGGAAACACAAGCGATTGCAGAAAGGCGACGGCATTGAAAAGTTCCTCGCGGTTTACAATATCCGTGTCTTACGGCAAGCCCTCGAGTACATGAAGAAAGCATCTAACAGCCTAGATAAGTGGAAGAATGACCTTTACGAAATAGTTTCCAACCAAGCATTAGTAGACGCAAAATTAGACCTAAAAGAGTCCTTCCGTGAATGGCTTGAACTACTCAGTACTCTACCAGCCAAGCTCCTACCAGCCTATGAGCTATCAAGTATCGACGAAGCCCCTGAGATGGAAGTATACAACCGAATCTCAGCAAACGACAACGTCTCTGAGTTACACGAGCTATTCACCGCGTCTTCCTATTATTGGACATTCTTCAAAACAGACTTAGGAGCATTTGGAGCTGGTGCCCATGCCATCGCAGCCGGAGATAAAGTTGCTATTATGGCTGGCGGGTGTGTTCCCATGGTAATCAGACACGTACACGGAGATCAGTACCGGATTATATCTCCAGTCTACATTTGCGGCATTATGCAAGGTGAAGCTTGGCCGGTTAATTTGAGTAGTCTGAAGAGCATTGTTATTGTTTAGGGACTTGCCATCTGGACAGGCAAGAAGAGAAAGGCTCGAGAATATGAACATGAATGAGACATTACAAGGACATAGGAAATGGGCCATAAATACTTGGGAATATCGATCTTCGAATTCTAGTTAATATGCCCTTAGGCCATATCAAGGAGTCAAGAATAATATCCTTCAAGTTCAACCCGTCGGCGTGATTTTTGAGATTATCTTTATTCTTTAGGCTAGGATTAGTCCTCGTCGCGAGTCCACGCGAACACATTCTTTCCGTTACGCATCAGACCATGATGCTTACAACAAAGCCCAACCCACAACCCCATCAAGAGATGTAACCCGATAATGTTAATGATGTATGGGAATATCGTAGTCATCGCATTAATCTACCAGGCCCATAGGATTATCTAGAAACTCCATAAACGCCTGGTACACCCCTAGTCCAATATCATCATCACGCCTTTCGTCCATCGAGCCGGCGTCCTTCGTCGGGCCTCTTCTCGGGCGCCTTTCCCTTGTCTTCTCCCTCGCCCTTCCGCTTGACTGCCCCTCTAAGGGTCTGGCCCTGTCCCGCGAAGTGCGGCCTGCTCGCATTCTCTCTCTCTGCCTCCTTGTCTGCGTCTGTCTTAACCGGTGTAACCTCGTAACCAAAGAAGAGCTTGTTGGGTGGTAGGCGAAGAGGCATGGGGCCATTCGTGCGTCTTCGCGGGACGGGTACAACATTTGTAGAAGTACCAGCAACGGGGGTTGAGGGTTTCGGCGTTGGGGCCTTAGAGCCTTTCTTAGCGCTTAGTTTGTGACCCTCGTTTAGGAAATGAGATGAAACTGCTCGGGCCCCGGTCGCAGCTGTTGTGGCATTGGGGGCGATCGCGTCGTAGTTGATAGACTGTGCCATCGTGCCTTGGGGATGCATGAGCCCGCCAGCGGGTAAACCACCCCTCGTACTTCTCGGCGTACTAGTACCGCTACTCTTCTGCGGCTCAACATATCCTACTGGTGGTGCGAACTCGACCGAAACATCGGTCTCTATCATACAAACACCCATCTTCTCCGTCTCCGGCTTCACCTCCAAGACCGCTACATCGTAAACCTCGTCGTTATACTCGAAGTTGAACACGTCGCCCTTGGTTAACGTAGCAAAGTTTCGGAATGCCTTCTCTAAAACCGCCTTTGGGTCACTGATGTCGAGGAAGTTGGTCGACTGGGGTTGCAGCTTAACCATCTTAGCCAGCTCCAGTGATGTCGATTTTATCTGGATCATGTCGCCGACGTCCAGTTGTAGCGTTTGCATCATCTAAGCCCGTCAGTTATGGTCACTCCTCTATGATGCCAGCACCAAAACCAACCCATTGCGGTATGTATGCTCTGCCTTCCTCCGCCACGAACTCTAGCACACCCGCGTGTGTCTGGCGCTCCTTCTCGCCATTTACCAGCTCCATCATCAAGGGCCACTGAACGTGTAACTGGGAGATTTTCTGGAGGGCGGATGGAGGCAGGAAGATCTTGGAGCCGTAGTTGAGTTCCGGTCTCTCGGCTCCGGGGGCCATGATAATCGGGTAGCAGCGGAAGTACTCGTCGAAACGGCGCATGGCCGGGCCGCGCATCATTCCGGATCGGGCCATGTACGACATGGCGGCCGGATCGTCGACGTCAAAAGAGTTGAATCCACGGTACTACGAAAAGAGTTGTGGTCAGCAGAGATCCAGAAATCGGAACAAAGGGTCGGGTGTGTAACTAACCATAACGAGGCGGGGTTATTTTAGGAAACTTAGCCTACCTCTCTGAAAGATAAGAGAGATGGGGGGACTGAAGATGGGTAGAGACGTTTAAGAGGATAAAATTAGAGACGGTGAATGATCTAAAAAAGAATATGAAGTGGACTTTTTTTGTAGGAAGTTCCTGAACGACTTCAGGGAAGCTACTGAACCTTCCTTAGAGCTCTAGGTCATGTATCCGAAGGCAACTGCTTATGACGAAACTTCGGCGTGCGTATTAATCCGTTAGGGGTACTTTGCGCCTTAGGTAACCGTGATTACACTACATACATACTGCTAAGAATTAGACAGACAAGCCACTAAGCACGGCCCCATAGTTAGTAGCTTAGGTAGCAGCTCGGTAGCTCGGTACATAGTAGCTTAAGCCTTAAATGTCCCTCCCCACTGATGAGCTGCAGCTACCAGACAGGGGCAATTTTCAGCGTCATACATATTGGATTAAACAGCTATTGGAGGCTCTGCCTCAATTCATACTTGTACTTATACATAATACATACATAATCCACGATAGCCTCATCATCACATCACATCACAACCACCATGTCCTCCAGATTCAGTGCCGCGCGCCCAAAGCGCGCCGGCGAGAATTACGCGCGAATGCACCATGGCGAGTCCAACTCGAAGAAAGTCAAGTTCGACATGCGGAATCCGTCCGCGCTCGCCCCCGACGCAGAAGACGAAGACGACGAGGCTGATAATTACCTGGAAGTCGACGCAGAAATCATCCGCGGGAGCGCCGCCACTAAGCGCGGAGCTGTCAACATCGATGGCTATGACTCGGATTCTGACCAGGAAGAGCTTGGCACTTTACACGCGTCGAAATCCAAGCCGAAGAAAGATGACGAGGATATGGATGACATGTTCGCGGCTGAAGAGGATGGCGACGAGAAAGATGATACTGTGGATTACTCTACGGGGAAGAAGAGCAAGGAAGTCAATTTTGTAGACACCGAAAAGATCGAAGGCCAGGAAGCAGAATCGAAATCTGGTGGACATGTGCGCCTAGACGGGGAATCATCCGACGATGACGACGAAGAGGCAATAGAGCTCGCGATACAAGAAGAAGGTCTCGACGAGGAAATCGGTGCCGGCGGGCTCAAGAAACACGCCCCCAAAGTCGAAGCTTTCAACCTAAAAGCCGAAAATGAAGAAGGGCGCTTCGACGAGGCCGGGAACTTCGTGCGCAAGGCTGTAGACCCCGACGCCGTACACGACCGGTGGCTCGAAGGCGTCAGCAAAAAAGACATGAAGAAAGCCGCCGAAGCCCACGAAAAGCGCGAAGCCGAGCAGCGACAGAAGCGCAAGGAAGAAGACGCCGCATTAACGTCAGATCTTCTCAAGTCCCTAATTCTCCATCTAGAGCGCGGAGAGACTCCAATAGAAGCGCTCGCCAGGCTAGGTCGGGGCCAGACAAAAACCAAGAAAGTCCCCAAGTGGAAGCAGAAGAAGCAGAAGCCGGACGCCATGGAGGTGGACGCCGAGAAAGCACCGGAAGACCCCGAGCAGACCCGCATCAAGGAAGCTATCAACACGATCACCGAAGCGTCGGACAGACTGCTCGGGAGAGACCGGCCGGATATCTACGACAGGGAACGAGAGCGCTTAATCCGAGAATACACGCGCGAAGCAGACGAGCCCTGGGTAGAGCCGCAAAAAGAGTCAAAAGCAGCGCCTACGACCAGGATGTGGGAGTTCCGCTGGATCGACGGCAGAGACAACGCCGATAAACAGGGCCCCTTCGACGGGCCCACGATGAAAGCCTGGCAGGACGCGGGTTACTTCGGAGAAGGCGTTGAGTTCAGGGAGGCCGGCGAGGAAGGTTGGACTCGCCTAGCTGACTTTGTATGATTACGAGGATGAGGCCTCGTTGGAACCGCAAAACGAAGGGAATGATACCACGGCGTTCTTAGTAACGATTTGAGCACGATGTATGATTAGCTATTTGGAAAATCAAAGGACTGCCCTTCGCAGTAATGATTTATTACGCTTTCGGATCGGATATTACTACTATATTTTACGGTGTTGGATGAGAATACGACGGCTAATCTAACCCAATGGTTGATATTTACTACACCATCCAAGTGAGCGAAGTTCATCGTGAGACTACCTAGGTAGGTACATTAAAACCTTACTCGAATTTATATCGTCATCACAGAGTCATCGCAATGAAACATCAAGTATCAAAGCTTCTTTCTTCTAGAGCCCGAGTATGAACTTTGATGCAATCCTTGCTCTTACACAGATAGATATTGCATCTCGCGTATACTTCGGCAAGCTCGCTCCTCTATGTCCTACAGCTAAGACACTATAAACCATCGTCTAATACGTTAAACTTGTGCAAATGTCATGTCACTTTAACTACACTAGTTAAATTATTAATCGTAGAAGGCCTTTTCCCCTTCTCTTTGGTGAAACCCCTATTCCTCAGCTTGGGCTACGCAAAACCGTAAGCATGACACAAGTTACATTACATTATTGAGGGAGCCAACATCAAAGCACACAAGCACTACTCACAGCATAGCATACATCAACATCATAGCCAAATGAATTAAGTAGGTAGTCATTCAAAATACCATTTTGCTCGGTCGTGCCGGCGGGATATCATCGAAGTAAGTACGACTGCAGGATAAAAAAAAGAATACACAAACGGCCAACGCTCAAAAAAAAAAAAAAAAAAAAAGGAGGGGCCAAGCAATCCATCTTGTTCCCTCCGTTTGCTTTCTCCTATGGAACGCCAGTTCATCTAGCTTTTGTTTTTTCCTCTTCTCGACTCCCCTCGTCTGACGGGTAAGATAGACAGATAGAATCACGCGCGTAAAAATCAAACCAGGTTATGTTCCCGTAGTTGCGGTACCTGTATACGATGTTCACAAAACCAACCCCTTATTCCGTTCGTTCCTGCGAGACGCCGCATGACACTCCGGGTCGCCCTCGACCAATACCCTCACAACCTGATTACCCAAACTTTGGAAGGATTGTTGCTGCAGGGGTGGGAGGAAGACAAGAGTTTTGGTATCATGTCGTAGAAATCATGGTTCGTAATATACATTAGGATGAAAATTGGTGGTGCCGTAAGAACTGTGTATCTCTTTGGTAACCTCAATATTGGTTCTAGTTTTAGCTGGAAATCCCGTTTATTGTGGAATGTCCCAATTTGGTTAGGGACTCGGCTGGTTTCCATGGGCCGTTAGCCTGCATGACTTTGCGCAAGACATCGAGAGTGATCGGTATAGCTTCCTCGGGTATCGTCCATGGTCCAAGTCGGTCTATGAGCTTGCCTATCGAACCCCCATCGTCCGACTTGGAACTTCCATCGTATACCCCCATACTTCTGCGTGCGCCATCAGCCTGGTGCCAGATGTCTTGCTGCTCCTTGCAGTTTGCGACGATCTGGCTTGCAAGCTCAGAATCATTAGGGTACGACCACATTATGCGACCAATGTACACGAGACAGATGCCTTGGAGCCGCAGTATTAACGCGGTCAATGCATTGTGTCTTGCGCAGTCGGTTCTGGCTACTCGGAACAATAATAATAATTCTCGCATTGACCGGGTTGAAGCTCGTTTACGCTCGAGGTCGGAGGCGTCACTTTGAAGTTTGAAACCAAGGAGAAACGACACTACACATTGAATGCCAGCGGCGATAGCAACTTGACGTTCGCGTTCCGAAACTCCATCCGCTGGGTTCTTCAAGACCGCATCTCGTTCGTGCTTCAGCTGGGTGCCAAGCTTGATGAAATTCACGGCTCTCGAGTGCAGCCTCTGTAGCTTCTCTGGGTCGACAGGTGGACGGCGTCGATCGGGTGGCTGCGCGGCTGGCGTAAGACCGTTTGTAACTCCTGGGGTACCAACTTGGGAACTACTGGATGCGCCTCGTGTCATTCGCGACGATGGTCCCGGTGGTGTAGAAGGTCGTGGATTCTCTACGACTTTTGGCCGTTTGATCGCTTCGCTAGGGGGATCCGCCACGGGTCGCTTACGTGCAGTCCCGGGTTCCAAGCTATCGGAACGATCGCGAGCGACGCGACCACCCTCCACTAATAAATTGCTCTTCTTCCTGCCGCCGGGAGGTAAGTTTAAGAGCCGTTCTATCGTCTTTGCATTTCGCTTCTTATACTTCAATGTGACTATGAGCGACTCCCGTTGCCCTTTGCCGCTATCCACATGTATAGTATCTTCGCGCCTCGAAGGTTTCGCAGCCTTTTTCTGACCATTAGGAGAATCGGAGGCGACCTGGCTACTTCTTTGACTCGAGTCTTTTGAAGCTGACTTTGTTCTCGCTAATTCTTCGAGCACAATGGGCGGGAGTGTCGGAGAAAGAAGGGGCGGAACCTTTCGCTTCTTAGGGCTAGGAGACGGCTCACGATCTTCTCGACTTTTCTTCGACGGCGGTTTTAGGCTGTTCGAATCCGCCGGCTTCTTCTTAGGGCTAGGCCGCGACGGCTTAGAATCGTCCATGTAGTCTAATATATCAATCGGAGATAATAAGGGGGGTACGTAAGGCACCTTAGAGGTCGAGTTGTTTTCTAATTTCTTATCTGGTCCGTCTTTGTTCTTAATAAGTTTTTGAGTACCATTCACTTGGCTGGGAGGCCTGGGAGATACACCTTTATTCCCTGTGCTGTTGAGTGACGGTTTTCCGTTGGTGGTCGGTGTGCCTTTTAAATCTCTAAGAAGCTTCCTCTCAGACGCTACCTGCCGCTCGGGCTTCTGAGCAGCGCTATCCTTAAGGGAACGTGAGCTTATAGAGTTAGGCGTGGAGCTCTCAATCTTGCTCCGCTTAGCTGACTTGGACTCCTGCTCAGCCTCTATGACCCGTCTTTTCCTATCCAGCGAGGGACTGCGAGGGCGACGCGTCTCAGGCCTCATGCTAGGTTTTGCGTCGGGAATTTCTTTCTTAATAACACGGTGATCCTCCGCCTCTTTCGTAGTTGGATCGAGTTTTTTCTTTGGAGGCGCATTCGTCTTCGAGGGTTGCGCTACTGATTTAGGCGTTTCTTCGCCGTCGGGTGACCTTTTCCTATTCTTGTAGTCTTTTAGGGAGAGTTTCGTTTTTGGTTTGCTGGGATCAGCTCTTCGAGGTGTTGGGGTGTCGGCCGCGCTGACTGAATTTAAAGGTTCTTCCCGCACATCAAAGTAGGCCCTAGTCAGAAGAACACCACGCTCTGCGTCACTAACGAAAGTTGTGTATTGAAGGGGTCTGATATCCTGCTCTTCTAATCTCTTGTCATCCGCGTGTGGTCGGTACCGGCGCGTCGTGTCTAGTGACAAGTAGTGTGCTTTGAAAGGGAGAACGTCTTTAACTAGTGTTTCAATATGTTTGGTTACTTCCTCCATGGTTTTCTTTGTTCATGCAACTTCGAAATGTTGCACGCGAACCTGGTGCTAGGAATCATGAAAGGAAGCGCGGTTGCGGTGACAGATGCGAATTACGTAGGGTCGGTATGAGTCGGTATGATGTTGAAGGTAATCATCAGGTTCTAGGGCGCTGCGATAAGACGGAGATATTTCTTCTGTAAGGTTGGAGTTTAGTATTTCCGGTCTTTGCTAGCTTTCGTAAAATGGGTGAATAGAAGAACGTATGATATGGAGATCGGACAATGATTTGACGTGTATTCCTCGAAGCAATGGCGACGACAAGTCAATTCGACAGGCATTGGCTGAATTGGAAATTATGGGGATGGGTACAATAAAAAATAAAAAGCACCATCCAAAGTACTTCTCTAATGGAGTTTTTATTGACTGACCTCAAAGTTGGGTGCGATGGTGACTCTCGCTCTACCCTTTTTTCACCTTTTGCACACCCTCAAGCCCGTAAAGTACAATGCAATACACAGTAGATAGACACAAGTTACTGTTGTCGCGTAGACATCATTTGCTGTTTTATCCAGCCTCCAATAAATCCTCGTGACATTCGGCCCGGCGCATCGCTCGTCAAAATGTGGTTCGCGTCGGCGAAGGATTACGAGAAGAAAAAAAATATACCAGGGACGTAAGCGGAAGATAAATATTATTATGGTATGGAAAGGGGCTGGTGATGAGGCTCGTCGGGGGAAAGAAAGGAAAAGGTAACAAAGAGTGTCGGGGTAGTCAAAAGTAAAGTCTGCGTACTGATGACTAGGTATTGTTGTTGCAGATGATGCGTGATGATCGGCAGCGGGAAGAAGTTGGTGAAGTGGGTGAACACCGAACCCGTCGTAGTAGCAGGCGGTAGCAGTCGTAGGTAGGGACGGAGTGTACGCTACACAATAAAGTGCAGGGATGTTTCCAGTACGGAGTTGCTTGGGTCAGTTAGGTCACTCGCGCCTTCAGCGATGGTAAAGGACCGGATAGTGCTAGAGATGGCTCTAACGGGGCAAGAGACGCGGGCAAAGATGGAACCCCCAGTTTGATCTAACCCTCCAAGTTTCCCTTGTTGTGTTGCGGCTACCCGTTTCCTGCTTGACATTCACAACGTCGGGGGAAAGACCACTAACCTTACGTACCTCTTTTGCGTACTTACCTGCCTTAGACGGGAAGTACATAGGTCCATAGGTAGGCTTTTATGTGGCTTGTGTGGCTTGACCGGTCATAGATAGAACCCCCCTTACCTTCTTCGGTACTAACTGAGGACCCCCACCAGTACCTATGTATGCATCGGAATGATTTGATAGGGCACCAGAATAGTCCATTCCTACCACTAGCATCGCATCATTCATACATGCACCCGACTACCACCCTATCTGCCATATCTACGTGTACCTAACCGATTACGGATTATACAACAGGGAGACTATATCAAAGAAGCCCGACGCCTCTATCTTTCTGCCGGGCTAGAGTCTACATCTCCGATATGTACGAAACAGTTCTTGTAAGCGAGAGATATAACTCTTCTGATAGGCGGCACAATGTGCAATATTTTCTGGGTGCGAAATTATGGTAGGATCGGTTCGGTTTATACTTCGCGGATAGTTCCACGTGTGTTGACGATTCCAACTTCGAAATGTTCTTTGTTGTGTACAAACCCGAGACAAATTGTAAAAGGGTGTGGCTTTAGCAAATCAGAGCCGCCGGCAAGCAGGGCGGCATGGGTTCCAAGGTTGCAACTTGTACATTAGGATTAGGTACGTATTTGTAGTACCTAAGGCAGGAATTAGCAAGCTCACATGGGAACGCAAGGCTGATGTGGGGTTGCTTCATATTGCATCTTGCCGTAAGATCTTAACCGCTAGATCCACCTTTTGGCACATACCTACTTTGTGGCACACTTCCCACCAAAACACTACCTTTTCAACCTCGAATAACATTACGTATATTGATGCTATAAAGTCGAGACTAATACGAATCAGTAGATAATTGATTTAGGTTTATGACTATATATATAATATTAGAACCGAAGTGGTAATTATGATGGGATTGGTACTTTAGCATACAGCATAAAAGATGTATTACCCCCCCATACAAATTAGGTGTAAAAAGATGTTACAATTATTTACTTTAAAACGTTATATATTTAAAGCTATCGTCTTTAAAAGGTTAATATAGTCAGTCTTAGGCTATACACGAAGTTTTATGGCTGTAATTAAATTAGGTGGCATATTACATGAGTTGAAAGTTTTGCCCATACAAATATAATAAAATTTAGTATGAGGCTATTTTCGACCTCGGATCTTTCAACAACGAAAAGTCTTATAATTACGAAACATATACAACATATATAAAAGATCCCGGGCATTCTATTACATGTTTCAGATTCAAACATTTAAACGTTGTTGTTGCAATATTCCAATTTCCCATATTTTAAAAAATACTTATTTTTGTACCGAATTTGTATGTGGGGGCCTTGTACTTTTATATTGAGAGGTAATTACCTCAATTGTGCCACGAATAAATTTTTCTATTTAATACAAAATACAGGATCAGTAGTAAGGCCTTATAAGGTATTAAAAGAATCTAATTACAAGTCTATAGCATCAATATACGTAATGTTATTCGAGGTTGAAAAGGTAGTGGTTTTGGTGTAAAAGTGTGCCACAAAGTAGGTATGTGCCAAATGGTGGATCCAGCGGTTAAACCTTTTTTTTCTTGTTCGAGATCTTAGCGCCTAGGTTACAGGCCTTGCAGTTTGTCAGCCTCATATTATAAATCTATTTACTTTGACGAACTTCAGCAATTCAACGTACACTCATTTCTTTTTAGTTAAACTAATTTGTCAATCTACGACTACATAGTTTCTACCTATGGATAGGCGACAATAATAACACAAGATATATCTCCCAGTCTTCCCATCTTCCTGCCGTGAAAATCCCCGGCACCGACACTTAACCATTTACCCCCAGCCCATCTTCCAAGATGGCAGACAAATCCAACACCACAATACTCATCTCCACGAGCATCGTAGTCTTCCTATCAGGCTTCTTACTAGGCATGTACTCAGTGCGAGGGTACCTATTCATCTCTCCGTCCCTAGCCTCCCAGCGCCTGAGCAACTTCAACGACCCCCTCGAAAGCGAAGAGTCCGACATCGACGAAGATGACACAATACTCGACCATGCGCCTAACTGGGCCAACGGCGAGGACGCCGATCGAAGAGACGGGCTCAAGGCCTCTAACTCGAAGAAGGCAAAGAAGACTTCCAAGGACAAGGCGGAGGACAAGGCGGACAGTGCTCAGCCTCAACAAACAGTAGCCGAAGGGTCTGCAAACGAGGAGTGCAAGCTAGTCCTAGTTGTGCGGACAGATTTGGGCATGACAAAAGGTTCGTCCCCTATATTCCTGCTATTCCTTCAGTCATACTACGAACTCAACACTAACGTGTATCCGCACCTCACAGGCAAAATAGCAGCACAATGCTCCCACGCAACCCTAGCATGCTATAAGACCCTCACCCGCGCCGCCCAACGAAATCCCTCATCAGCCGAAGCACGACTCCTACAGCGCTGGGAACGCCGGGGACAAGCCAAGATCGCCGTACAGGTGAAGTCAGAGGCCGAGCTGCTGGACCTGATGGGTAAGGCGCGCAGCCTAGGCATCACAGCCGAGGTCATCCAGGACGCCGGCCGCACCCAGATCGACCCCGGCAGCCTAACAGTCCTAGGCGTTGGGCCCGCTCCCAAGAGTCTTGTTGACAAGGTCACTGGTGGCCTCAAGCTGTTATGATAGGGCTTCTATGTAGACTTAATCTGGCGTGGTAGGAACATGGTCGGTATATAATGGACGCAAACATCGGTAGACAAGTGGGCATATAGATAAATATGGGCAGTATGAAATATACTGAGACGCAAAATATACCCACAGGTAAACACCCATGGATTGCTTATAAAAGTGCATATATAGGTAGTTATGGAGTTATAAGAAGTCAAGGTTAATTTTTGACTGGTTCACTGCTTTATTATTTTCCCTGGGAGTTGCAAAACTCTGCTAATCTGCGAAGTAAAGCTCTAAACCGTAAACATACGCACATGGACCTCCATATTGCCAGATCTTTGCAGACCTTCCATCTTCATTTGACTTCCAACCTCTAGCCGACTTTTCTTTTCGAAGCCCCCGCCTTGGAAGCATTAATACAAAGGGCTATGGGTATTTCAACTATGCCTGGGTAGTATTCTGCTGGGTTTTTGTGTCCAGCTTTCTTTTTTTCATCGGGTCCTCGGCAGGCGACCCGGGAGAAGCTGGTCGTTTTCCTAACGGTGGAGAGGCTTTTATAAGAGTTGCCAGATATTTTGGGTCTCTTAACAGAGCGAGACTGTTTTCGACCAGGGCGAGTTTACTTTTCAACTCCCCAACCCCTGCCTCAACACCGAGGATTTTCCCTTCGGTTTGATGCCTGTAGGGGTCAAGGTGTTGAAGAATATTGATGGCCATTTGCTTCGAATTGAGGTTGGCCCACTGGCTGTCCAAGGTCCGGACAGAAAGCTCAAGAGAATCAAATCTCTTTTTTGCATCCTCCACGTCCGACTTAATAGCACTCATAATAGAATTAAGCCCGACCGTTCCTCCAGTAACATTGCTCTGCTGAAGACTGGTTACTCTACTCTCCATATCGGCCAATTTGATGATGACGTTGTCAAGTTTAGGACCAACTCCTTCGGCCTCCAAGGACTTTATACAACCTTGCAGGTGCTGCAGCACATTGTATTGTTCATCTCCGGCCTGCTTTAGCATATTAATTTGCAAAGACAACTTTTCAAGAGCTTTTACATCTGCTGTAATTTTGTCGACGCGAACCCCTAATTCGTCAACCATCTCGGCGCAACTGTCACCGGAATCGGCAACTACCTTCTCCATAGCTTTCCGCAACACATCCAGCTGTTCTTGAACCCAAGCTTCCTGTGCAAACTGATTTGCCGATGTCTCGTTGCTTGGTTGTGACACAACGGGTCGGGAATTTTCAGCATTCTCTAGGAACTTCCGTGTTTCTTGGACAAAAGAATCATTTTTGTCGAAATGAGACGTGGCTGACTCCTGTAAAGAATGGAAGTCTTGGCGTAGAGCCGCAATCGTTTTTTCATTTGAAAACACCTTGGATTTAAAATCATGGTCGATCCAGGTCTCTAGGATTTCGTTGTAAGTCTCCATGTCAAGCTCCTTGACCTTATCCATGAACGTAGTCGCCTTCTTTTCCACGTCATCCACTCTAGTGGTAAAGGATCCGAGATCCTGAGTCAACCGGTTTAAGTCATCCTGAGTTTTCTTAAGAAAATCAAGATCTGCAATTTGCGTCTTGAGCTGCGAGTTTTCGGATTGAAGAGTATTATAATCGGATCTTAACGCCTTAAAATCCTTATCTAGGTTATTGAAAGCCTGGGTTGACTGTTCTCGCTCACTACGTAATATCTGAATTTGGGTATGGGCATCAGATATTTGTTTTTGCTGCTCAGAACTTTGTTTCTGAAATTCGGCAAATTTGGCCTCTAGCGCTCGGAGCGAGTTGTTCTCAGCTGCCTGCAATTTGGAAGATGTTACGGAAGACACGGCTTTTTCTAAGGTTTCTGCGAATTGCTGATCGAGTTTAGCGAGACTTTTCGAGATTTCGTCCCGTTCTAACTTTCCACTTTCGTCAAATCGTCGCTGGAATTCCGAGTATGGAGCATAATCATTAACTTTGCTGGCGACTTTGTCGAGTTCACGCTGACGTTGGTGATCCTCGCGCAAGAGTTTGGTTTTCCGCAATTTCAAGAGCATGCGCTCTTGCGAAGTCTCGTTGCATTTATATAAAACTTCGAAAACTTCTTGTAACCTAGGATCTTTGGCTTTCGGAATGTTTGGTGGGGCTATAGGACCCGGACTGGATATTCTAGTTGCCTTTAAGACAATATCGGTGGCTATTGTACATGTTAGACAGGTAATTAAATAGTGGCTTAGCGGATGATCGGGGAAGTTAAAACTCACCCGGTTCAGTCGGGGTTGGGCGGGTACTTCTTGACGTTGGAACGCTATTCGTGGCACTAGCGGGGGAATAGGTACCTGACACAGCCCGCCTAGGACCGGTAGGAATTCTCGTGTCAATAGAAAGTCGATGAAGGTCTTTTGAACCACCCATATCTCTTCCATGGCCGTGCGGACTTCGTGTACCCTCCGCGTCCCCGGAGTCGCGTCGACCTAGAACCATGTTTCGGTCTCGGTCACGCTCAACCTCTCTGCCGCGATCACGAGAATATTCACTAGAAGTGTGTCGATCCTCGGGTGGTTTATACGAGTCAATACCGTATGGACGGCGTCGCTCGTCTTCAAAACCACTTACTCTAGATCGGGAGTATGACATAGTAAAGTAAGAAATAAAACTGGGCTTGAGGTTATCAGAGGTAATCCGAGGTTATCTTGCTAACCAGGGAAATAGAATCAGCCAGCGACTTCCCCGATTCTTGAAATTTACACTGCAACTTCCTGATAACCGTGCAGTCACGTACAACGCTGTCATTGCCTTGAAAGATCACTGCTCCAGGCTACTTAGGTTTGGTTGTCTCTTTCCAAGTTTTTGAAAAACTTAGATAGTAGGCAACTATGAACCAAGTGCGGCAGGAACTAGCAGTCTTGAACTCAGTCAAAAACACGGCGAGGCACAAATAGGCACCTACCTAAGTAGATACTATAACGCCTTCTAACCTGATGTTTTTTTCATTACTTTAGAGTCGCGGCGCGTAGGTAGGTACTGAATGAGAAAGGGTTGTTCAGAAGAGAGTAACTGGGCAAACGCAAGTCAATCACAATACTTTGAGATCTGCTCTCGAGATCCGGTCTCAATATAAGTATTTAATCCCGTGCCAATGGATAACAGTCGCCGCTGTCAGATTGAAGGCGTGGATCGAGTTGAATCAAGTAAGGTAGGATGCAAGCAAGAGACTGGAAAGAGTTGGAACCTTGAAGAATAAGTCGGGTGGGTGGTGCTTGCAAAATATATTGCTTCGGTAGAAGTTGCAGTCTGGTAGAGTTTAGACCCTTAGCGCTGTTAGCGCTTGGTAGGTGCACACAGCTAATTCAACTGCCTGTTAGCGATAGACTTCGCTCTGTGGGCACCTACACTCGACGAATATAAGAGAAGGAAAGAGCGGTGGGTGGGCCAACGAGTATGTATATGCGTTGTAAGTTCCGTTCTTGAGTTATCAGACGACGGGAGCCAAGTAAATAGAGTACCTGGAGTACCATGTAGAGTACCTCCTAAGGTACCTACCTCCTATAGGCATGGATCACGAAAAGATGTAAACCAACAAGTACAACCGGCGGTTGCCTGTACCTAGGTACACATCATAGAGGAAAGAGGGGCATGACTTTATAATAAAACACGGGGTGGATTTGACTGTTGTTGCCAACAAGAGAAGAAGAAAAAATGGAAAGCCAACTCGCTCTCATGTAAAGTTGCTTAGGTAGCGTTGCAATTACGAGATCGACGCGATGAAACGCGATATGCAAAACGAAATAAGTGGCAAAGAAACAAGGAGAGGTTAAACCCGGTCCATGATCTAATTGCTTTTTTCCAACCGGTTGGTTCAAGGTTGTATGTAAGATTTTAGTTAACGCTACATAGGTACCCAAGTATTGTGCTTGATCATATTGGATTATTTGAACAAAATATCACGGTGGTGGCCAGGTAGCACAACCATCAAAATAAGTGAGTGGGGTAGGGCATCTGTTGTCAGGCGGTTCAGGTTCCACTGCATTTACTATTATGAGGAGTTAATTAATATAAACCAATCAAAAAGTTCATATATCTATAACTCTGCGTACCCCTTTAGGTTCCTTGTAAAGTTACCTATATCGCAAAGGTCAGCCACCAGGAAAAGTCCAACCGGTGGAAGATTGCTTCCAGTAACGCCACAACGCCACAACGCCACATTTACTTGCCCTGAGCGCCGCAGACTGCCAAGATGAGCTGATAAGATACCGATACTGTACAATAAGCCGTGTACCCATGTAACGCGTTTAATTTTCCAGAGCTGCGATTTGACTTCCTAGGAAGCTTTAAAGATTTAACTAACAAGGCCAGCCAGCAAAGAGACAACGCCAAAACAGGAAACTCCAGAGCTACAAACCACTCAACCCGGGGAATTGAAACCGAGTTCTCTCCAAAAATGGCTGCTGTAAGTATAACCACTTTACAAATCAAAAATCTTTTACCGATAATAATCGAGAAAATGGAGCTTCGAAAGCTAATCAATATTGTGGAAACACACAGCCCGTCATGACCGTCGGCGAGACCAAAGAGCTGCGAGGCCTGAACCTCATCGCGGCGCATTCGCATATCAGAGGCCTAGGCGTAGATGCCGACACGTTAGAACCTCGCTCGGCGTCGCAAGGCCTCGTCGGCCAGGAGAAGGCGCGAAAGGCGGCGGCTGTTATATTAGAGATGATCAAGGTAGGGAAGATTGCCGGAAGGGCGGTTCTCATTGCCGGTCCTCCAAGGTAAGCCAAGCCACAATTCATACATCTATCAACACAAGAACCTACCATTGACCATACGGCACTCCACAGCACGGGTAAGACAGCCATCGCAATGGGCATGGCGCAATCGCTCGGCCCGGACGTACCCTTCACATCGCTCGCCTCGTCCGAGATCTTCTCCCTCGAGATGTCCAAGACAGAAGCCCTAACCCAAGCCTTCCGCAAGTCGATCGGCGTGCGCATCAAGGAAGAATCCGAGATCATGGAGGGCGAAGTCGTCGAGATCCAAATCGACCGCAGCGTGACGGGCGGCGCCAAGCAGGGCAAGCTCACCATCAAGACGACCGACATGGAGGCCGTCTACGACATGGGCGCCAAGATGATCGACGCCATGACCAAGGAGCGCGTCATGGCCGGCGATATCATCTCCATCGACAAGGGCTCCGGCAAGATCACCAAGCTAGGCCGCAGCTACGCCCGCAGTCGTGATTACGACGCCATGGGCGCCGACACAAAGTTCCTGCAGTGCCCGGACGGCGAGCTGCAGAAGCGCAAGGAAGTCGTGCACACCGTCACCCTGCACGAGATCGACGTAATCAACTCGCGCACCCAGGGCTTCCTGGCCCTCTTCAGCGGCGACACGGGCGAGATCCGCAGCGAGATCCGCGATCAGATCGACACCAAGGTTGGCGAGTGGAAGGAAGAAGGCAAAGCCGAGATTGTGCCTGGCGTGCTCTTCATCGACGAGGTACACATGCTCGACATCGAGTGCTTCAGCTACATCAACCGCGCGCTCGAGGTTGATCTCGCCCCCATCGTCATCATGGCTAGTAACCGCGGACACTCCAAGATCCGCGGTACAGATTACCGCAGCCCCCACGGCCTACCTCTCGATTTCCTCGACCGTGTAGTCATCATCCAGACGCAGACCTACTCGCCCGACGAGATCCGCCAGATCCTAAGCCTCCGCGCCACCGAGGAGGAGGTAGATGTATCAGCCGATGCCCTAGCCTTACTAACGAAGATCGGCCAGGAAGCCGGGCTCCGGTACGCCAGCAATCTAATCACAACCTCTCAACTCGTCTGCGCCAAGCGCAGGGCCAAGCAAGTATCCGTCGAAGACGTCCAGCGCAGCTTCAAGCTCTTTTACGATCCCGCCCGCAGCGTCGGATTCGTAAACCAGTCTGAGAAGCGGTTGATCGGCGAAACCGGTGCCGTCGACTTGACAGTGGCCAATGGGCAAGCCGGCGATGACGCTATGGAGATCAGCTGAGCGTAATTTGGGTGTTTTGTTTCTTCCCCTTTTCAGTGGCGTTACATGGGATACCAAAAACTGGTAGCTTAGGCGAGAACAAGAGAGATAGGCCAAGCAAGCTATTACTATTATTTACCTACTACTACCGGATGAGTAATTTACGATATAAGAGTGTAGGTATCATAGGTACATCGGCGTAAGCGGATTGCAATATTGAGACTTTTCGAGGTTACTATTACTACGAAATACTTTCGTATTAATTCGAATTGATCAATTGTCAATGTGAATGGAAGAAGTAATTACATGGTGCCACTACAGGGTATGATTTTACATTCTCGTCATGCAGTGCAACCAATTTCACAGCCACGATATGGCGAGGATGTCAATATGAAGATGATTTTTTTGCTTATTTCATTTATTTATGATGAATCATAATGATGTCGTACTGCTCAACCGAGCCCAGCCATATTACCTGGCAGTCATTACTTGGACGAAAACCCACCCGCACGTTTTGATTACGCCGTCAGAGCTTTCTTTCATTAAATCGTAGGAAATTATTTACCAGCGTCAACCTTGGCGACGTAGGACAGGAGATCAAGGACACGTCGGCTGTAACCCCACTCGTTGTCATACCAGCTGATGAGCTTGACGAAGTTCTTGTTCAGAGAGATACCGGCCTTGGCATCGAAGATGGAAGAGTTGGTGTTACCGTTCAAGTCGGTAGAGACAACATCATCCTCAGTGTAAGCGAGAACGCCTAGAATAATGTTAGTTTATGGTTTACATGTACGATTATTAGGTAGAAATGTAGCTTACCCTTGAGAGGACCCTCAGCAGCCTCCTTGATAGCGGCCTTGATCTCGTCGTAGGTGGCACCCTTCTCGATACGGATGGTCAAGTCGACAACGGAGACGTTGGAGGTAGGGACACGCATGGACATTCCGGTAAGCTTGCCGTTAAGTTCGGGAATGACCTTACCGACAGCCTTAGCGGCACCGGTGCTGCTGGGAATGATGTTCTGAGCAGCGGTACGGCCACCTCGCCAGTCCTTGTTGGAGGGACCGTCGACGGTCTTCTGTGTGGCAGTGTAGGAGTGAACGGTGGTCATGAGACCCTCAATGATGGTGAACTTGTCGTGGATGACCTTGGCAAGGGGAGCAAGGCAGTTGGTAGTGCAAGAGGCGTTGGAGATGACATCGGCCTTGCCGTCGTAGGTCTTCTCGTTAACACCAATGACGTACATGGGGGCATCGGCAGAGGGGGCAGAGATGACGACCTTCTTGGCACCACCCTTCAAGTGAGCCTTGGCCTTCTCAGTGGTGGTGAAGACACCAGTCGACTCAACAATGTACTCGGCACCAGTCTCCCTCCAGGGGATGTTGGCGGGGTCACGCTCCTGGTAGAACTTGACCTTCTTGCCGTTGACAACGAGGCCATCGCTGTCGTGGGAGACAGTTCCCTTGAAGATGCCGTGAGTCGAGTCGTACTTCAGCATGTATTCAGCGTAGTGATTCTCGATGAAGGGATCGTTGACGGCAACGATCTCGATGTCCTCGTGCTCGACAGCATTTCGGAAGACGATACGGCCGATACGGCCGAATCCGTTGATGCCAACCTTGACAACCATTTTCAACTGAGTCTGCGAAGATAATGTTAGATGAGGTTTGGGGTTATCAGGAGAAATAGAGAGTATGATATAGATGATGAAAGAATTTGGGTTCGTAAGATAAGTGGTAAGACGAGGTATTTCAATTCATTCAGCTCAATGGATCATAGCCGTCCGAAATCGATAAAAATTAGAATTGTTACTGTGTAGCACAACAATTCCCATTTTTTTACTCGTCTCGTCTCGCATCCCAGCGTTGCAGAAAGAGCTTCCGAGACTCCAAACAAAGCCAAGTGATCCAGGTAGGCGGGGCAAGAAACAAAACCTCGTCGACGTTACAACATCCATGCGATAATCAATAGCGGGGTAATGAAGGGGAGCTGTTTGGAGGGGGAGAGGGGAAGCTAGCTCTCACCTATTATTTAAATTGGAAAGGTTAACGTTCTGTTTGCTGGACTCTGACGTGGACTAGAAGTTTGATTAGAAAAAAAATATAACAAGAGAAGAGAATTGAAAGAGGTAGACGGACCAGATTAAATATGTTGTTGTTGAGTTAGGTAAAAAGAGGGATATGGAGGGGTTACCAGTTTTATGATGGCATATGAGCGACATAAAATAAAAATGGAATTGGTTGAGGGACGAGACCTTACCAAGAAAAAAATATGATGCAGCAAGGTGGGTAGGTGGGGTGCTTAATCCCTCCCATAGCAGTCATAAGCAGCCCATGGCAACCCATGGCAACTTCCTATGGGTTTCCCATAGACTTGGCCTTACAACACTTTGCCCACATGCGACTACCCAGGCAAGCCAGGCAACCCAGGACCTATTATTTTTAGAGGGGTAAAAGGTAACCTCATTCGGGGAATTCCTACTGTACTCCCTGATAAACTGTACTTGTTAGTTACATCCGCATCACCCCGCCGCGCTAATGTTCTCTCTCAACACACATGTTGCACCTACGCTAACATAGGTAGGTAATCACGTCTAACATCACATGTTTCTACATATTATGATGCGTTGACTTATATGGCGAGAGACATGAGCTGACTTGATAGAAATCAAACGAGAAGTATCGTGCAATCACAAGATAGGGGTCCTTTATTCATATATCAGTCAATAAGTCAATAAGTCAATATCAAATTAGATACCAATGCTTTTCCATCTTTCTGCTCTTCCTTGTTCTTTTATAGGGGATCTAGTTATACGAAACGAGTACGACGGACAAACCCATCTAGCCGGGTAAGATGTATAGCGCTTGTAACTCCGGAGAGCTCCTTGAACAGTGTACTTACGTTCCGTTGACATCACACAGATCCTTATTTGAGGACCATCAGTGACAACCCCCAAATCAATAAATGCGTCTCATGAAAAATAACTCAAAACCCATGAGGAAAACACTACTATATTTCTCAAACTGAGGTCTTAAAGAGGGTCTTGAGAGCTCCCAAGAGTTTCAAACCAAACGTCGACATCCATGTATATCCAAAGTCACTCTTCCATAGCCGAGAAACATCTTGTCACTGTGTTAACCGAAAATGGCACGAATGTCTAACGGGTTCTCGGTCATTGTACGGGACGCATCTCACGATTCTATCCGATATAGCTCGGCTTTTGCAAAGCATAGCCGAATTGGCTAAGACAAGAGAGTCAGAATTGCTTCGTCGCGATTCCAATACTAACAAAGTCAAGACAAATTATTGCGTTGGTCCGAAACCTGTGAGAATGGGATGGCGAACTTCCAATGCTGCCATTACCACGATTCGGCGGCTCAGCTTACACATTCCACATGCGGACATAGATAGATCTCTCTCAACTTTTAGTTCAATGTTGCCTTCAGGGTCCCCCATTAACATTAACATTAACATGCATCTAAGGTCCGCCAGGTACCGGAGTTTCAAAGCAACGCTACTCCGCAGCTGTTCCGTAGCTGTTCCGTAGCTGTTCCGTATGACCTCTCGAGACCACAGTACTAGTGTATCATATTCGACTGCTGATAAATACATAGCTATCAATGCTCGCCATCAGCTTCTACTGATCGTCACGCCTTATCGTGTGACCCGTAAGTTAAAGAACAACGGACAGTTAACTTCTCAACCTGTTGAATGTTAATGCGTCGTATCCGACATCGCATGTGTGTGACAAAAATGACAAAAACCTTCCACCTGGCTGGCCAACCTCCTGATCCAACCAATGTGGATGGGCAAGGGCCAAACGTGCCAATGAAGCATACGCAAGCTGTAGATAGCAGTAAGCAGAAGCAAATCTTACCAGCATCGTCCCGCTAATCAAGCTTATTCTAGTGAGGCCATGACTGGCCGATGGCAACGCCACACAAGGCTGGAGAAAATAGGCCCGATCGTTGGTTTCTTCCTCCCCACGGCAACACAGCATCCAAGGGGGCACATAAGAAGCACCTAAAGGCTATCTACTAGTCTATACAAGTCGTAGTAAGACTCTCGCCGCGCCGGCTAGCCGCGCTATACATTACATAGCTCCATTGCCTAGGCCACGTCCATTTCCGGTGGAAATTTGACTCCATCTAGAACTTCTGTCTTCGGTAATTTCGTGGATCCCGGCTCCGGCAGCCGGAGCCAATTGCGCTATAAAAAAACCTGAGCTTTTTTTCAATTACGAGCTCTACACGTATATGCGGCCCGCATACTCTTTACATGATTCAATGACGAATAGCCCTTTGTTGATTATACTCCCCTGGCTTATCCCGCGAGAGGTTTGAATAAAAGCCACGACAAAGCCGGTGCGGCATTTACTTCGATTCCTCGTAATTTTAGCCTATGCGAGCTCTGTTTTGAATGTCTATTATAAGACAAGGGAGAGCGTTTATTTCTAGACGGCTGTATAGGCCTGGCAAACTCAATGTTACCAGAGTATAAAGTTGCATGCGTTAGTTATGAGGTTCTACTATATTTTCTATGCTAGCCAATGAAAAGAAAAATTATACACACCGTCGAACTCGAAGCACATGACTTTCCATATACGCATTGAACAGCGCTGATACCACAATCAACACTGTAGCATTTGAGAAAAGCTTCGCACGGGGATAATTGCAATTGAAGTATATTAATATCCATGTTTACGAATTGGTGATCACGACTATACATTATAGTCGCTTTTCAGCTGTGACCCCAGTCATTTAACAGAATACTAAGATATGTCTCGCTCGTCAACTAGCATCACCGGCGCAATTACCAAACGCCTCAAGACAAAATATACATTTCCACATAACTAGCGCTCACTCAGAACTAATCATCCCAATATCCAGTTTTCATCCAGCGGGAATACCTCATAATCCCAAACATATTGTGTATATATATAATATTTTAGAATAAATAAACCCCTGTACCACTACCCAGTACCAATTAAGCCATCCCTCATATCCCGGAATTTATTTGTCAGCCATGAGTCCCTGTTTGCCCTTTTCGTACACCAGAGCCCCTACGATTGGGCGTTGCGAATCCAAAGTGGCTGACCGCATGTTCACGCCAGCTGGGGGGGCGAAAGACCCAACCCAATCCCACGATGCTGGCTGTCTTAATAAGCATGGCAATGCTGTTTCACCTCACTCTTATACATACATACATACATACATACATACATACATATATATGGGTCCGTCAGCAACACCTTGTATAACAGTCACGAGAGATTCTTCGGGATATGACTTTGGTAATGATGCCATCGGTATCTACATAGTAAAGCCATAAGTAACCATTTTAGTAGATGCTAAATATGGGATATATCATAGATCATGTTCTACGTGGCCATCTGATATTAGTCTTCTCCCCTGAAAGTCCTCGTGACGTTGGCGGATCTGTAATCAGGAATAAGCTCGACAGTTAGTCATATTCTTGACCAAAGCTATTATTAACCAATACTCATAGGCACCATATGAGAAATCCTATCAAAATACATTAAGCGACTGGGGACGTCATGTGTAGCGATGCATATCCCTCAGTGTCACCCAATCGGTTCCAAATACGACAGGGCCTTGGTATATAGAACTTCTTCATATATGGCTTTATAAGCAGACTCTTACTAGTACTTCAATATTTGCGGCGATAGATTAGATCCTTTACATCAGCACCATCTACTAATACTCGATTCAAGAAGCAAAGGTTGAATTCATCATTCGCTATGGTGGCCATATACAGCAATGATACAGCTGGCTGGGTATAATCAGTGCGAACGCCCCCTTAATTACAGGTCTCCTCTTGTCCCGAGAAGTCCTGCCATCCAAGTACAATACTAGTAGCATATAATTTTGTTCAAGTATCCGTTCATGGGTATTTCAGCACACCATTTTCGAAGGGCGCCCCGAATCCATAAACGCCTCTGAAATGCTGCCATGAGCCCGTGAACCTGTCCTACACTATTACTTGAGTCCAAATCCCTCGCTCTCGTTAACCGCTCGCCATAGAAATTCTTCCAGTCTTTGGCGTGAGGCGTAGCGGTATAAGCCTAAGATATTAAAGCACGTCCTCGCGGAAGGGAACCGCCCTTCGTCGATGCCCAGACAATTGATCTTGATTACGAGAGATGCCGCACCCATAGCTGGGATGCGGTCACTGCCCGTTATGAAAGATAGTAACCGACGTTGATCCGTAATAGAAGCTCTCTCGAACGTATCCCAGAACCACTGTATCGTGGGCTGTTGGTCGGGTGGCATGTGGATTGGCCAGTTTGTATACGCCGCAGCTCCTTGCAAGGCAGTAATATCTAACGATTCATCTGAACCGCGGATAAGGAGTTCAATCTCCTCCGGTTTGAAAAGCGTCAGTGCGTTGCCAGCACATACGGTGAAGAAGCCTCGCTTGAAAGGTTCAAATTGCCGGCTGACCGAAGTATCAAGCAGATATCTGACATAAAGGTCGACGTACTCCCGCCGATTTGCGTTTGTCACCATCTTCGACTCGCCCCCTGGGCAAAGAGGCACTCGAACTCTAGTACCATATTTCTCGACCTCAATCACGAAGTCGAGACAAAATGTAGACTGGACATCTCCCTCGTAGCCTAGTAATTGCCGAAGCCCCTTTGCGAGGACTGGGCGAAACTCAGCTAAATCGTCCAAAGTGTAATTCATTGTCGGACGTGAGTGCGCCGGTGCCCCGAGGGTAGGAGGAGGAGCGGAGGCGAGTAGCTTTCTGAAAGCAAAGGGTGGTAATGCGACGTCCAATATGGTTGAGTTGTATATGGCCAATCCAAGTACTACTCCGACAAGGAAGTATTGATCTGATGTCTCGAAAGTATTCGGGTTGAAGTAGCAGAAATTAGAGTCTTCGTCGTAAACAAAGAGCCCTAGGATCAAAAGATTAGACATAATTCTTGAGGGGAAATGAGTGAGACACTGACCATGGTCTGGATTGAATACCTCTCTCACGAGAAGCAAAAACCATTCCTTCCGAAGTCCTCCACCATCAATACCCTCCTCCCCTCTGAATTCGATACGTAGACCTTTTTTGATTTCCTCACTACCGCTACCGACGACTTCACTTACTTGCTTCAGGCTATCTTCCACGAGGCATTCTCGACGGATATTTAGGTTAAGGTATTGCTCGTAGTTCCTGTGTGTCAAAATACTGTCGAAGAAAGCTTCTCTCGCTTTTCCGGCCATTTGCCGTTTGGCATCGAACTCCAATATCTGTATCTTCGCCCAGATGCTGAGAAAGAACGGATATTGGCAGAAGGTGAAACGGCCTCTTCTTGATTCCCATAGCTCAAAGTCGGCTTTGAAGTCTAAGCCGTCAACCAGCGAGTTGTAAAAATCGCTTTTCGGTATTAAATGGCCATGGCTACGCCCACCAGATTTATCAGTACGCCGGACGTACGTCAAAGTATTGCCTGAATATACAAGAGCCATGACCCTTGCGGCGGCTTTAATTTGCCAGTCATCCGTATACGCCGCGCGTTGCGGTTCGATGGGCAGCTTCTGCTTTTTTGACTTGGAGGATTCTAGGGCGGCGTGAAGTGATGCCGCTGTATTACTAGAGCGAGAATTAGACATCTGTGGAATTAAACCACCCGTTACGTCAATTCGTGGCTCAACCGTCTTCTGGCTTTGCCGGTTCAACCTGTAGGCGATGAACCCGTTGATTAGATCCTTCGTTTGAAGTAAGAGATGTTCGGGCAACCTAGAGAACCAGGTAACCAGGTGATGATGGCATGGCTCAGACGAATTTGCTAGTAAACCAAGAATTCGCTTGATAATTCCGGAGTGCCTTCCGGAAGTCTTAGTCTGAGACTCTACTACACTCTGTCCTGCAGCCACTCTCTTTCCCTTGCTTAGATGTTGATACTGGCCGCTGTATGATTTGAATCCTGAAATAAGAAGAGGATTCGCCAACATCAAGAGCAAAAAGCGAATATCCCGAGGCTCTTTCATTAACCGACATGGTCGTTTGAGGAGCGTTTCTGTACACTTTAATAGAACCTGCTGTATATGCTCTTGAGCCGAGATAGCGAGTGATTCGAATTGTAATAGCTTTGCATCTGACAGTACCCGAGACGGATCAAGTAAAAGCACCTCTGCATAGACTTCCGGCCAGAGCTGGGCTGCATTGACTACCACATGATACCATTCACTGGCTGCGCCCCAGTCGATTCGGGGGGATCTGGAAGATACAATGGAGGGTACATCGTCTTTCCGCCGGGATGGGGTCTTTGAGGGTAGAACCTCCTCTCGACCCCCGGTCCACCATGTGCCATTCTCCGCGACGTCGCCCAAAAGTAATAGTTTAGGGTCGAGTTCTGAAATTGGTGTATCGTCGCGAACTGGCTCCTTCTTACTTTCAGGGGCCTGCTGCTTAACAGCTTCGGGGGGAAGCTTAGAGCTGGCGCTCATGTGCCGAGTAGCGAATGAATTGTTGATACATAGATAGGAACTAAAACATGACACTAAGTATTCCTCCAGCTTCTTAAAAATTATCTTGGGCTCTAAATCCGAAACTGTGGCGTCTGGACATTCACCGACGGGATCAGTCACAGGGAAAGTCGAACTCCTGACGTCAGGATACGACGTCGAGTACGACCTCGCCATAGATACGTTACGGTTCAATGGATTTGGTTCAAGATTGAGATCGGCAAAGTCATCGAACACGGCATTATAGACATGGCTAGGCGGGCTTGCACTTGAAGTGGGCGAACTACCTTGCTTACTTGGGGGTTGGATCTTTGCAGAATGCTCGTTGGGTGGACGTGGTAAGAATCGGCCTGGCCAAATTCCGGTACGCTCTGGGCGTGATTGTGCCGATATACAAACTTCTAACGATGAACGTAAACATTGCTTGATGATATGCTTGGTGCGATCGAGCGATATAGAATTTGCTATAAGAGTAAGTAAAGGTCATGATCCTGGGATATGGTAGCAGAACATACGACATTGCGAAGGTCGTCGTGAGGGGTCGAACTCAGTCTCGTTTGGAGGCGAAGCACCGCTAACTCCGAGTTGTGTACCCGTATGACCAGCGGCAGAATCGTAGGGTTTGAGATCATTTATGGTTAAGCAAATGGTGCACCTGAAGATATGAAGCTCTTTAGGCCATCGGACCAAGCTAGCACACGTCATACAATTCCCCGTCGCGAAATCTACTGGCCCACGCGGTATCATTCTAGGAGCCATATTCTGCTGCGCTATGGGTTTAGGACCGATGTCAGCGGTAAAGTCTCCGCTTCCGGACTCGTCTTCGGGTCGTGCATTCTTCCTCTTCTTGCTAGAGAAAAGCGAGGGAAACGGGTGACTCATTGAGCGTGAGTGCTGGGCAGGTCGGTTCGGCTTCGTGACGGGTATATCGTCGTCGTCGTCGTCGGAACTCGAATCGACTTGTACTTGAATATTCCTCAACGGTTCAAACTCGGGACGTCTCGAATTACCTCTAGGGCGGCGAAATTGTTCGTTCGCGGACGGATCACGAGGTGGGAAGTCATAATGGCCAAAAGGCCGATTAGAACGAGACATATTGCTTGCTTAGGTTGCTCAGGTATATAGCTCGCAATTGCGGAAATTGGGTGAGCCCAGCAGCAAGAACGGGGGGGGTTATCTCTGCATCTACCTAGCTTCTACCAAGATATGCCCAGACAAGGTAAGTAGAGTCTAGCTCGAGAGAGAGTCGTGGCAAGTGAGAAGCTCATGGACAGGTACTAGATCGTTTGACGGCGATGGCAATCTCTACCCGGGTAGATCTTGACAGGAACAAACACTGACGCAATACTTATTCTTTATAATAACAAGATCCGTCGGTGACAATATCTCGTATGAAAGATTTAGAGGAGACATAGATCCTGGGGATCACTGCAAATAGCAGCACTGCAGCAGTGCAGCAGTGTATCATAGGGTAGATCGTATCGTCTCGTGTGGGAAAGATTAGGAATTCGTTAACAAATAGGAACTGAATTTGGCCCAAAGGCTCGTGCCGGTTTGGAAATTGGAGGAGCTTATGAAACAGAATGTACCAACCATAGCGCTTGCCGCTTCCCGAAAACCCCCTTGGAATTAGGCCTGACAGGTACCTAACGGTTCTAGCCTGTTAGCGTTCCGCTTGCCCCCCCAAACCTGCCCAAACTTGTCCAAACCTGCCCCAGTCTCCGCAAGCATCCCATACAAGGTCCACCCATCTTGCGTTGCACGACATAATGAGGTACCTTTCTGACGGTAGGCGCCACGCAGCCACGCAGGTGTAATTCGTATCCTCATCCAAGTTTGAGCAGGGGTGAAGCACGGGCAATTTGACAGTTCTGACAAGTTGATTTCCTGCCGACGCAACATAATCCAGGAAGTTAATCGTTTTAACTTGCCGCCATGACTTAATAACCTTTTTCTACAGCACATGCCAACCGCAAAATGGAGATGCAAGCATATCGTAATTACATGTTGTAATTACAACTATTCGATCAACCCCATCCGATTTTGCAGAAGACTCTAGGTTACACAAGTCTCCAGTATTGATTCAGTTGATAGGAAAAGTTCTGTATAAACTACTAACCTGCTAGTTAACCTAAATGTATGTATTATCAAATGCCAAGACGCAACATTTTGAAACATTACGTAGTTGTGAGTAGGACCACCAGTTCACTAGCCCTAGACGCTATCTTGTGTTGCCACCAATGATAATATATTGTAGAGGAATATTAGAAGAATGATCAGTTTAAGTTTAGGCTCAACCTTGCTATATTAAGCAAATGCGAAATAGATTTCCCGAAATAAAACCCAGTCACGGAGTACTTCTGTAATCAACAACCAAAACCTAGCTGATGATTGGAATATACTCTAAGAAAGGTCCTTGATCGTATAAGCCAATCAGATTTCCAATGTCTTAAAGGGGGTTATCTGGTGGATAGTTCGCACTTCTATCCATAGCAACTTCAGTTACCCAATACTAGATATATTTTAAGCTTCGGTGTTACAAAGTCTATGAATTCAAGGAACTGATCAATATAAATACTAAGAACCCCCAAGCAAGTAAATGTTTCGTGTAGTGGCACTACTTGTTACAAGTCGAGGAACTAAAAGGCCTAGGTTATTATGTATTAAACAATATAATAATAATAGTGCTTCTAATGTCGGCGTATAGTATCTACATCAGTGGTAGGCATATAGAGATCAAACCAAAGTATTATCCAGTGCATCATAGAACTTCCCTTGTTACGTCTGAATTATTCACCTCCAATATTATGTTTCTATATTTAAAGACCTGTACCAATATGATCTGCTTTGATATTCATTCTTTGAGATTTGTATTATCCCAGATATCCGCTACCTTACTTGTTAGGAGAGAGTGTGGTTTGTCTATGTGTTGGTAATGACGCTGGTTATGAAAACTTGTTTTACCTAGATCGAAGGGCGTCACAAAGGGCTGACATAGATACGCAATTGAAAGTGATAACATAAACTTCTACCAGTTACACTCACATAGACAGACCCTCGGTCTCTTCAACTTGGCTATATACCCCTTAAGCTGCTCCTTACTCTATCCAACTAAACAACTATGGGCCTAACTTCCTATCTAAGTAAACAGACTTGATTGTCTCTTGAAGTACCAACAAGAGACAGCGCTTTTGCTACTTGAATCCAACTGGCGAGATTTCCCGTGAAGTTCAATAAAGAATATATATTGAGCACTTATTAACTCTCAACTTGCCAACCAAGTCGGAGTATACATGTATTTAGTTAGCACTTGGGGAAATAGCTTAAGTGAATTACCTTTAAGAGAAGGGAAAATATTGTACTTATCACGAGGCTGAAACCAAAAGGTGCCATCTATTGCAGCATGGTGCCTGCCTTGTCTACCTTGTACACTGTACACAAATAACAAGCAAGTATCTAGCTGAGGTACTGAGTCATGATGTTGTCTGGCGAACTGCTAGACAACCAGCTGTAGACAGCATCGTGACTCCTGTATCAACTGTAGAGAACCTTTAGGGACGGCGTACTCTACGTACCGAAGCTACCTTAGTCACTTAAGTTAACATGTCAGCGGGCTTACAGTTGTCAGGTACTTTAGGTACCTAAGCTACGCCGTGGTTACGGCAACCGTTAAATCCGGCAGTACCTTAAAATGCCACCATCACCACCCTCGTCACCGCCCTCAGGCGACGATAAAAGTCGGCGCACCTTGGGCGCAACTAAGAATTTTTTTCCCCTCTCTTCTCATCACAAAAATATTCAATCAACAATCCAACTTAACTACTACCTACCTAATCAACAATCTTAATTAATTAACAAGCCATCCTCTGACAAAGCGATTAAGACGCCACAACAAACCAACTAAAGTAAAAGACTTATTCTAACAATTACAGTCTTAAAAAAGTAAGTTTACCACTATTATATTTCTCTATCTTCACAACTTATCGGCGACGCTAGAATACTAATTGAACAATAGTCTTTGCTCGGCAACAGGGAAGGGGGAATACCTTAAGATAACTCAAAGTCTTCTCTATACTTGAAGCGCATGAATCACAATTGAGAAGGTATGTTTTGTCATCTCATCCCAGGTGGTATAACTATAAGTTACTAACTATCATTAGTGACGATAACTCGCGCTGGTAATGGACTCTCTCCATGAACACCGAAGGCGCAGGACCATCGTCGTCATACAACACCCTCGTCCTGGCAAGTAGTCCAGTCTGGACCCATGTGCACAACGCAAATACAGTGCCAACTATTCGTCCATTCACAGGAGGACCATAAGTAACCTAAACCTCGCAAAACCTTGCGAAACCTCGCGAAACAGTAACAAACCCTAAACTTCTAACCTACCTTCCACGAGCAAATTACTATCGAGGCGGGCGGGCGGGTCCTAGCTTTGGTGGCAGCAGCCATCAGGTTCACTCGCCCTACAAAAGACCTTCTTCCCCCTCCTCTACTCCTTGCTCCTTATTCCTTATTCCTTACTCCTTACACCCTACCCTTTAACCTTCTCATAAACTACCAATGCTTCCAACGCACTTTGCCCTGTGGCCTCTATGGCTCTAGCGGCTCCCGCGGCTCCTATGGCCTCGGCCCCCGTCGCCGTCCGGGTACCTCAGCTGGGTAACTTAGCCCAGCTGAGGGCTATTCCAGCCCCTGGAGTGGTAAGTACATTATATCCACAGATTGTATATAAAAAGCGGGAAACTAATTTGAGTAAGCCTTTTTAGCAAAGTGAATATTTCACTCGCCGATGGCATAGAGAATGCTGTGAAGGACTTCTGGACCTACAACTCATCCACCCTGCAATGTTGGCAACTATGGAACCTTTCAAATTATAAGAAATATTAATCTCTTCAACCATAATCCTCCCCCTATACACCCCCTCCCCTCACACCTATCGCGAGTTCCACGTCTTTCTCGTCAGAACCTGACAACAAACACCAAGGTAAGTAACAGCTCTGGCTTATATCCTCTCCCTTTCTGTTCCACCTATTGTCTTGTTTCATAACCTGAATCTTGATTCTTCTCGAAGATATCTCTGTCGAGGCTAAACGCAGACACATCATTCTTTTTCGAGTTCATTGCTAATATTAAGTAAGATGTCGAACCCAAATATTGATTTGGGAAATGGCGTAACTGTCACGACCAGACAGGTCGTTATGATGGTGGCTATCTTTAACAATGCAAGCAAAGACTTGCTGAAAACCGTGGATCGGACCGCAGTGAGTTGCGAGACGGGCCATGCCTCTCGCCGTGTCGCACGCGACACGTTTACTACCCGTTGCAAGGCGTTTGAGTCCAATGGCAATATTAAACAGGATGTTTGATGAGCATATGGACTTCGACGATGGCTGGGCTCTCACCATGCCACAGCCCTCAAGAGTGGAGGAACAGGGACACACTAATACATAGTAAGTATTTTATCTTCTCACTTTTCTCTCAATAGTGATAAGAGCCGGGGCTGACATTCTTCCTTACTTAGCCGTTCACCTTCTGGTCATACTCTCTTCACTCATCATCCAAATCACGGCATGATTGACTCAGAAGCACGCTCACACCGTAGGTGAGCCTACCCAGGAGCTTCTCAACGCCGGAACCATCCTTGAGGCCGGCAAGGAGTACGAGGTCGCAGGCGGCAGAAAGGTTACCAGGCCCGAGACCGATATCGTTCATGCCTGCGTCAAGTTCTTCGACCACCGCCAGTTCAAGGTCGCCCAAACCTACGGCACCGTCGACGACGCCGCGGCTCTCTGCCAGAGGACATAAAGCAGGCCATGGATAGACTTATAAATCGTCTACTCCCTACTCCTGGCCCTCACAGACCTTCGTGCACATGAATTATCTTAAAGATGAGGGGTTATATTCTGGGGGTATCGAGGGTGTCGTATAATACTCTATTGCATCTTGTGGGTGTTTTATCTTCTTACCCTTCCCTCAATAACGATGAGAATTGAGGCTAACATTTTTCTCTAGCTTCGGTAGCACCTGTAGCTCCGGTGGCTCCGATAGCCCCTGCAGGCCATACAGCCCAGGTGGTTCCGGCCGGTGCACCCAGGTGTGGGCCGTTGGACCCCCAGTACATAGGCGCCTATATCATACACTTACCTTCTTCACAACCTATGAAGGTGAATAGATCTCTTCCCAATGGCATTAAGCAGGCGATCGAGGACCAGGGAAATGTCTACCTATATATCGCCTACCCCCTACCCTGGCACCTAGTATCTTCAACACGAATCGTCTTACGGGAAGGCCTATTCTAAGAAATATCAAGATGGATATGAAGAGCTATAACGCATCCTGTAAGTATTTTATCTTCCTGCTTTTTCCTCGATGGTGATGAGGATAGGGACTAATGTTTTTTCCTACCTAGTAGTATGCTCTTTACCTATCCTGCCTCGAAAAGTAGCTGTACCCTAATCATGGAAACTTCTTCAATACGCTCCCACATATTTAATTATTCTATTATATACCTACCCTTCTTCTCCCAACCTGCCAACACCATCCGCCTCCCAGTTCAAGTTCACTCACATAACTTATGTCGAATAAGAGTATTCCAGGCACTACCCTCGCTTAAGGCATGGGAGATCGCGAGGAAGCACCAGCTTCAGGCCTCTTTGCCCTAACTCTAATTAATCTATTATCTACTCACGGCCACTTTCTCCTAAGGCACGGAATGTCTTAAGTGGAGGGCTATGCAATCCTGCAGGCGTTGTCGGCCGGGTGATGGAGAACCCGTGATATTCACATATCTCGTAAGTGTTTGATATTTCTTACCCTTCTCTCAATACCCAGTAAAAGATAAAGGCTAATATTTTCACCTAGTTATACCTATAGGTACTTTCGCCTTTGGCCTAGATGGTTCACTCCAACACTAAATAAACCGCTCCCGAAGTATGGCTCCGGGTCTCTCTTACCTATAATAATTCAGCCTTAAACAAACCGCTCCCGGCATATGGCTTTGGGTCGCCGCCCCTAACACTACTCTAATTACCGCTACTCTATCACCCATAACAACCTTCCTAGACGAGACAACGAGGCCTTGCGCGAAAATAATGCCCCCGGGGCTCGTCACCGCGCCCGCCGAGGTACTGATTACCGTGGACCTCCAACTCGTCCAGATAACGAATGGGGCTGCCAGACGGGTTCTCCTTCAGGCTATGATTCATAACACCAGCGTCATACTTGGGCTTAATAAGGGGAGGGCTTCTATATTTATAATAGCGCGGAGTTCAACCTAAACCCGTTAAGTCTAAGAGAAATTCCCCATCAGGGGGCGGCCGGAGCGGAAGCCGTTGCTAAAAGTAATGGTTTTACGAAAATTTGAAGGAGCCCTACCATGTCCTTGCAACTACACAGGGATTGCAGTAATAATCTATATTAAAAACCCAACCCTCATAACATCGAGGTTGGGAACCGTGACACTGGAAGCATCCCCAGGCCCGGAGGTCAACAGATAATAATTGCCAGTACTTCGAAGCGGCATTCTAAGGAGCAGCAAGCAATCGGACTGGCGCTTGAACTAAGTGAGCAAGACGAAGCTATTACAGTATCTCCCGGCAACAAACTAGTTGTGTCACAATCGCATTCAACGTCGACAACCCGAGCTACTCAACATCAATACTAAGGATGACAATGACCCCGATAAGGTGAGGAGCCGGCTAGGTAATAGCTACCAGTCTTTCGAAGCTGCGCGTTAAAGCACAGCAAGCACTCGAAGTGGTCTAGCTCTTGAACCAGAGGAGCAAGAGCTAGCAGGTGTAACGGAGCGACTCCGGAATCGGTATGACCAATGGTACTTGGGGGCCTGTTCCAGGCGATATCGCGCGAAACACAGAGTAGCGAGTCGTCCTAACCTAATTATGTCTCTGGCGAGGGAAGTTATGGAAGAAAAGGATCTTATATATAAACGCTACTAGTAAAACCTCTAGAAGAATAGGGGGCCAGCACAGGGCTGCCCTAATTGCCCTATGCGAGACAGCCCCAACAGGCAAAGTACTCAAGGCAATCATAGCCCTACGTACCCCCCCATACTAATCTCCAACCCCTTAATCCCAACCCCAACCAACCTACCACGAACCTACCACGGCAACTCAAACCCCTCCCTATGCCAAAACCTCCCCGTGTCCTCCAACCCCTTCCCCTTAACAACACCCCACAGCTTCTCCGCCGCCTCCTCCGGCCAAACCGCCTCCGGAATCCCCTCGCCCATACCAGTCATCGGCGTCTTCACAATGCCCGGATGCATAATGACCACCGCAACCCCCTTATCCCTCAGATCCACCGCGATGTTCTTAAACACGCTGTTCGCAGCAGCCTTGCTCGCGCGGTACGCGTAGGACCCGCCGGAGCTGTTGTCCGTGATACTGCCTACGCGGCTCGACATCACGCCTACCTTTGGATTTTCCGATTTGAGGAGGTTTGGAAGTAAGGCTTGGGTAAGGAGTAACGGGCCAAAGGTGTTGACGCTGAATGTCTTGGTCAGAGTAGCGAGTGACACCGTGGACAAAGCGTCCTCATCCGGCGGGGCCATAAAGCCCGCGATATTCAGCAGTAAATCAATTGGTCGACCACCGTAAGACGACACGAACGAGGCGATTGAGACAGGGGATGTAACATCTAGCTGTACTCCGTCGCACTGCAGCGACGTGAGTTTTCCGCTTACATCGAGGTCGGCGGCTATAACGTTATAACCCTATAGATTGTGATTATTAGATGGCAGTTAGGTATAATATGAAAAGTGAAGATAATAAACAATACCTCTCGTATAAGGATCTGGGCAAACGCATGACCAATGCCAGAGTTAGCTCCCGTCACAACGGCAGTCGGCATATTGGCTGTGGGAAGACTGGACAAGAGCGGAGACGCGCGGTAGGATTATTAATAATGTAGTTGCATAAGTGGTTACCCACGAAGGCGTGCTGGCCTGACCATCAAGGTCGTGGGGTTCTCGATTCTTATATTGACGACGTGGACCACCTAGCTGACAAATGGTATTTCCTTTGCATACTAATGAACCACGCCGCTCGTGTTCCTCATCCCTATTTAGGAAAACACATGGTCCCTTATTGGTTCATGTCAACTGCAAGGTGAAGCATCGTCTTATACAACCCTGGAGGCGCAGATCAAAAAGGATAACGAATCGGAGATTTTGTTCATTCAGAATAAAAGGTTATTTTAACTACAGTTTAACCAACTCGACTGTCTAGGTTAGTAGTAGCATTAATCATGTAATAGATAAACTTTTCCTCTCGCTTGTATCCTATCCAGCTTCCCAAATTAGTCAAAAACAATAGCAGCCTTGATGGCAGACTTGTTTCGGATGCTCTCAAGAGCTTCGCCCCACTGCTCAAGCTTGAAGGTCTTGTTGACGATACCCTTGGTCTTGACCTTGCCGCTATCTAAGTAGTCAACAGTGGATGGGAACATGTAGGTCTCGGAGAAGGAGCCGATGATGGTAATTTCTAGTTTCGGTCAGTCCAATCTCATCGTAATAGTAGTGGCATATAACTTACCATCACCGAAAATCTTGGCTGGGGGCCAAGAGACGCGAGCGGAACTGGGGTAGACGCCGTAGCAGACAAGCTTGCCTCCACGGCGAACGTAGTTGATGGCATCCTCGAGAACCTTGGAGCTTCCGCTGGCTTCCACAACTATATCCCCTATTAGCATCGTCGAGTACTCTTAGTATATGCGGTTTGCCTACCAATGTCGAAACCATATGGGTTGTCCTTCTTGATTTGTTCAAATTGGGGTGCGGCGTTTGACCTAGAGAGAGGAACATAGAAATCGGCGGCATCGAGACTCTTGGCTAATTCCATCTTGGAACCTTCGGGGGCAGCAATAGTTAATTGCGAAACACCATTCTGACGTCTATGGAAGAATATTAGCACTGATTTATAATGGGAATTGAGATCGTCCTATCGTACAGGAATTGAGCCATCATGAGACCGGTAGGACCAGCTCCAATCAACAAGGCATGGGATCCAGCCTTCGGGGCGATCTTCTCTAGACCGTGCATGGCGCAGGAGGCGGGTTCGATTAAGGTGGCATCGACATCGCTGAGGTTGTGGATTTTGAAGAGTTTACCTTGGGGGTAAGAGGTCTACATTTCAGAGCATACAAGTTAGCTAATAAAAGACTATACAACGAATAGGTAGGAAGTACGCACGTATTCGGCGAAACCGCCGTCCAATCCTAGGACACCGTGTGACTTGAAGTCCTCGCAGAGAAGTTCTTGGCCTCTTCGGCAGTAGAAGCTTTGGAGGTAGATTAGCTACGTTCAAAGTCTAGAATCTGGTAGGATTTCTCTTACCAGTGACCGCAGAGCTCTGAGTTATCCGCAGCAACACGATCTCCGATTTTGAATTCCTTAACATCATCGGCAATTGCTAATTGTGATTATTAGTTGGTATTGTGACGCATTTTATCCTCTATATCTTCTTACCGACAACCTCGCCGACGGTCTCGTGGCCAGGGATTAGAGGGAACTTGGCAATGAATTCTCCCTCGTGGATGTGTAAATCAGTACCGCAAACACCGCAGGCCTAGAGTAGTTTCGTGTTATTACGGCTGCGAGGTTATATATGGCAAGCGAAATTGACTTGCCTTGACCTTGATCAGGACGTCACCGGGCCGTAAGGTGGGTAGAGGAACCTCGACGATACCCCATACTTCTGGCTTCTCATATCTACGAGGGATATGGCTGTTAGTAACTACGTACAAAGAGAATTGACCGAAGGAGCTCCATTGGGGTTTCTAGAGACAGTCCTTAATTGGCACAATATAACTTTATATGGAGGACAAGACTTGCCGGAGAGCCTTCATGGTCTTTGGAAGGGAGGCCATTTTGTTTGTTTTCTAGACACAAAAGTCTATCGTAGGATGAGGGGTATTGTAGATATGAGATTTATACAATCAACTCCAATGGAAGAGAGTTGTGGAAGAAGAGACAGATAGAGGAAGCTGTTTGTATATTGGGAGTGAGGTAGATGGTCGCGATGTGATTTAGTCAAGAAGGAAGTAAAAGGAAAACGAAGACGTTTGGGAATGTTGTCTTCTTATTACGTCCCGCGGGGAAGAGAAGAGGCGCAAGCCCCAACCCATTATTCACACTTTCTAATAGGATTGGTTCCAATGATTGGTTCCAATGATGAGTTTGCCTGCAAAGCTATCCATGCTGCCATGCCACCAAGAAACAAAGGATGGGAAAGGAGGGGCAATAGTTTAGACATATGCTGCTACACCCCGCCATAACAACGGCATGCGTTCACCTCGCAGACAACCCTAACTGATTGGGTTAGCTAGCCGGAAATAGATCCACTGGAGGTATAGTTCGATAGAACCAAGACTCGTAAAACACTACGTCAAGTTGGTCTCGCTAGTGTTGCGCGTGTGAGTGACTCCACTCGAGTAATATCTACCTTGCAGAAGCTGGCTAGCTTGGTAAGACAGCGCTGGTAAAATGACCTGATAAAAATGTTTGGCTGGAGAAGTGCTCCCGATGGAACCCGGACGTCATCTTGCGTGGTCTATACGGTACCATCGCGCTCTCGGCGAAAAAAAGAAGCGTGGTCTGTCGGTATTCCATAAGTCTGGGTCGACATGAGTGTTCATATTCCATATTCGACATACCAATTCGTAGGTTAATGGCATGAGCATCACCTGCAAATGTCCTGGTCAATGCCATATTTGTTTCAATTCTGACTTTTTACCGGATGGTTCGGTCAGACATTTTTTTGAAATTGGAGGCGCCCGGATGTCACTTGACCCCCGCGTCTGTCTAAGTATTTTTGTAAGAGAGTATACATAAAGTCCTTTAAGGTAAGATTACCCCTCATAATCAATTGGTACTTATTAAGAGAAGTATCTCACGTTAAGGCCGACTACATAGCCAGCCGAGTGAGACCTGAGGCTGCGAGTTGCGAGGTTGGGTGTCAGGTAGCACGGCGTTAACGTTGAGCGCTGTTTCGGCATCATAAAAGCATTACTACATCTGTCGGAGCTTTACAAATTCGCTCGGTGGCATAGCTTCGGGATAAAACTCATAGTGGTCGTGTGCCAGTTAAGATTCTGTCGAAGCGGCACAGAACCAACTACGGTTTAATGTGTATGGATCTTCTATCCGTACTGCAGCTTAGAGGGTCCTGGCGATGCTCGAATGAATATTAATGTACTCATAGATCCGTCCGATCGAAATCGATTTGAGAGATCTATGCGCAAGGTTTCACATTTGAAGAACTTGGCCAATCTGTAAAGGCAGAAAGGCTAATGATACGCAAGCTATGCCTATTATGCTCAGGTTTCGTGCCGCGATTGGTCGTCATCGGGATGAAAATGGGGATATTCTGGAGATATTCCGGGGCTCGGCGCGCTATTATTGTCCAGTTTGTTGTCTAAAGATGGAAATGTCACGGAGCTTCACCGAATTTGAACAGGATAAGAATTACGAGAATTCTATTACTAACGTAGACAATTGAGGAAACCGCCGTGAGGATCTAATCAGTAGCACCGGAGCCGGGCGGAAGTCTCCGATTTGCAAACCGAGGTGGATAAAGTATTACGGGTAACTTGCATATATCTACCTAAGGTACCTAATACATAGTGCCTTCCTCTCGATACCGTCCAAGTCATGCCACAGTTACAAGTGTACCTGATGCAAACCCTCCTTTTCCCTACGTCCAGAATTGATAGGAAACATGTAGCAATAAGAATACTTCGAGAACAACTTGTCACGCATTTCCCTTCCGGAATTTGAATAAAACACATACTTCCTTAATAAGTTGTAGCCATTTGCATGCTAATCGTAGAGGCTCATAGGTATCGGCTTGGTCATATTTCCTCGCACTCCATTAACTTTCACCGATCCAAGCATCTTTAATTGGGAATTTTGGTCTCTTCACAGCAAAAAGCATGTCCATAATTCATTGATGATTTCCGAGGATTTAGCCTCCTAATAACTCCCAACCGTGCATCCGAGGTTCCTCCCACGAGTTTTCTATCACGTGCAGAGAAGTGAGACTATGCAGGTGCTCCATTCCCTAGAGTACATGTCCATACCCGGCTACCATGTGCGTCGAAGGGATTTTCAAGAGTAGTAGTAGAAGCTTCTTACGAAGGGGGAGCGCCACGGCCACGACCGAATCCACCACGGCTGTCCATTAGAGTAAGTATAAGATCGTATAAAAAAAAGGATGGTCTTGCCAGTAAAAACTTACAATTGAGGGTTGAATTCGCCAGGAGCACCACCGCTCTCCTTGCCCTCACCAGCATCCCGTCTTCGGTAGCCACCCTCACGGTCGCCACGGTCACCACGGTCACCACCACGGCCACGGCCGAATGGTCGGCGCTCACGCTCGCCCTCACCCATCATTCCTCGGGGAGGAGCGTGCGATCGCTGCTGCTTGATGTGTGTAGCGGGGACGATCTCGGCGGGGAGGTGAAGCCATTCTCGGAGGTAGTCGAGACCCTCGGGGGTGAGGGTGTAGTAGTAGTATTGCCAAGAGAATTGAGTCTTGACGTAGCCGCGGGAGTTGAGCGACTGAAGGGCCTTGACAACGAAGAGGTTCTTGGTGTCGATGTCGGGATGCTTGGGAAGGTTGAAGTCCTTCTTCGCGACCAGCACGCCCTCTCGGAAGAGGTACTACATGGCGAACAAAAAAATGTTAGCTCGACAATTCTCGAATTTCTAGAAAATTAATTATTGAGCTGCTCGTCTAACCTCGTGGATCTTCTTGCGGTCAGCCTTCGGAATCAGCATCTTGGCGGTTGGTTACGGTGACAAGATGTTGAACTGGTTGGGTGGACGTGATTGATGTGAAGTCGACAGGCTGATGGATACTTTGCGATGGATTGAAGGTCCAGGGAATTTTTGGTTGTGCGCAAAAACCCTATGGTGGAGACGGAAGCGACCACTATGAATTTGAGTGGGGTGTGGGAAACTGTGGCTTATGTAATGACCTGACAGCCCTGTTTCGTGCACAGACCACTCAAGGTTGCTTGTGGCTGTGGTGGATAACCCATTTAGATAAGGGACTTGGCGTAAATGCGATAAGATCCACTCTAGCCATCTAGAATCATCAATCCATTCCAACCATTTCATCAAGTCCAGTCCAGCAGCCTTTTATCTTTCAACATTCAAGAGCGACGCCTTAAACCATAAGGCCGATAACCCAGCGAGTCTTTTCATACCACCATACAAACCCTACAAAATGGCTCCCGGGAATATCAACGTCTTTGTAACAACCTTCTCAGGCTTAGGCCTACCTCCTACTCTATCTCTTCCTATCCCTCCAACCGCAACCCTTTCAGACCTTCACCATCGCATCGAGGACCGACTACCGCAATTTGATTCGCGACTTATTCTGACTACCGTATCAAACAAACAAATCCTCTCTAACTCCAGAGATCTAGTCTCTACTCTCTGCGACTCCGATGATGCATTCTTGTCTCTACGTTTATCAATCCCGTTATGCGGTGGCAAGGGTGGCTTCGGCTCCCAGCTCCGAGCAGCTGGTGGCCGAATGTCTTCGAAAAAGAAGAGGAACCGCGGCGACGAAAACGCATCTAGCAGGAATCTAGATGGACGCCGAATAAGAACAGTCAATGAGGCTAAGGCGTTAGCTGAATACCTAGCAATTAAACCTGAGATGGAGCAGAAGGAAAAGGAAAAGCGACGCGCGCGCTGGCAGCAGATCGTCGACGCCGCGGATGAGAGGGAGCACGAGATTAAGAACAGCACGAAGGGCCGCTTAGATGGCAAGTGGGTTGAAGATAAGGAAGAGGCCAGCGAGCGAACGCGCGAGGCAGTTCTCGCTGCCATAAAGGCAGGAAACTACAAAGACAACCTGCTCGGCACATCGCACGGCTCCGCCTCCACGGAGGATATGGACGAAGACTCAAGCGAAGGAGAAGATTCCGAGGAGTCAAACGGCTCGAAGGGTCCAACTCCGCCGACGAACACCAAGTCAAAGAATAGCACATCGGGGAAGCCCGTCACGAGAGCGTTCGCCGGATTTGACGAAGATGACGAGTTTATGAGTTCTTCGGATGAGGACGAGGAGAAGAAATAAGGAAACAAGAGCATGTTACTAATGATACCCCCCCAAAAGACGAGATAATCAAGACCTATCCCCGGGTCAACTACCTAGGCCCCTATACTTCACTTTGATTCTTTACACCAGCAATCATATTAGTATTGATCAGGTATGTGTATGTAGTTGAGTTTAAACAGCGTGCTTTAGTCATTAATCATCCATATTTACCTGGGCTCGCATTTCATGTGCTTGTAACCTCACTTACATATAGAAGGTACTAAGATCCGAAGCACTGCGATCATGAAAATGACTAAATTACCAGGATGTTAGCTTCGTCAAACCATCCTTACGAAATATCTAGCTTATAGAGAAGAGTTAATCAAAATACAATCAAATATACACTACCCAAAGACTCAATGCAGTGATTCCTCTCAACTCTACCAGCCTCTAAACACGAAGCCTTTACTAACCATCCATATCTTAATAGGTATAGCGAACACTGACTATACACCTCTACCTCACAAGCCTCGCCATACCCTCCACCTCCGGATTCCCCATCCCACAACTAAACTCCCTCCACTCCTCCAACTCCCCCCTCACCCTCTCCGTCTCCGCCACAACCATCCCCCAACTATCCCTCCCCAGCGGCACCCGAATCGGAATCCTCCCCCCACCCCCCACCACCGCGTACATCCTCTCCGCCACCTCCTCCGCCCCCGCAAACCCCGCATGCAAATCCGTACATATTATCCATAAACGCCAACATCCCCGAGGTCGCTCCCCCCGGCCGGTCGTACGCCGGATGTCTGGTAGGCATCCGCTGCAGGGAAGACGTGGTGGCATATTTCGTCCGCGCCGGGGGGGGGGGGGGGGGGGGGGGCGGGCGGGGGGGGGGGCGGGGGGGGGGGGCGGGGGCGGGGGGGGGGGGCGGGCGGC